GGCAGGGAGGGCGAACAGAGACCACAGGTGCACCCCACTGCAGGCAGAGAGGGCGAACAGAGACCACAGGTGCACCCCACCGCAGGCAGGGAGGGTGAACGGAACTCAGCCTGCTGCTTCCTGTGAGGCCCTGATTGCAAGTCAGAGGGCCAGACCAGGGCGCTGACACCCGCACTTGGGGGAGCACCTCTGCTCAGCCCTTGAAAGCGACCCCTGAAACACCAGCTCCCGGAGCAAGCCCCCTCTGCCAGGCAACCAAGGACCAGGTATTGAGCCACACCGGCTGACTGCCGGCACACCACGTCAGCCCGGCATAACGACTCAAAGGTCCAGCTCTTGCTATTTCAGATCTGCCTTAAATACAGGGAATCCAGAGGGAGCTGTGAGGGCCTTGGGATGCCCTCCACTCCTAAGCGCTCCCACTCACCCGCTCAGCACAGTCTAAGGCCGTGCACTGCCTCTTGTTCAACACCTGAACCGATGCTCCGTGAAGCAGAAGCAGCTCCACCACCAAGACGTGCTTCTCGATCACAGCCTCGTGCAGCGCCGTGTTGCCCTTGTTGTTAGAAACGTTAAGGGAGGCCCCGTGCTGGAAGGAGGAACAGTACAGTCAATAGCAACGCAGCACCCAGGGGACGAAACGCCCATCACGGACTCGGGTCAGCAGCTCCTGGGCTGTGGGCCTTACCTGCAGCAACAGTGCCGCGACTTCGTGGTGGCCACTGGAACAGGCGTAAATGAGGGGTGTGTTTCCACTTATATCCTTTTTATTGGGTTTTGCATTAGAATCTAATAAATACTTCACCACCTAGGCCAGAGCAGAAAAATTTCAACCTTAATTAAAATTGGCAGGGAGAAATCCTCTAACTTGATATTCTTTTGACATTTCTCTAAGTTCACTTAGAAGGCTCTTTAGACACGTCTGCTCCTCGGGAGAAAGCAGACCAACTGAAGGGGCGGATTAACATTTGCTGAGGGTCTGCTCCGTGCCAGACAAGTCCTGGGCCCTGCGTTTCATTTCATCATTAGATCTGTCCCATGGAGAGCTGGAGTTACGACTCCAGTGTTACAGATTAGGGGACTGACGCTTGAAGCACTCTGCTAGGTGTTATGAGAGAGACGGAAGACTTGAAATATGGTTCCTGTCTCAAAGCTCACAGCAGAACTAATAAGGGAAAATTTTAAAAAATAGATAATTTTCAAAAAGAAATGTGATTTAAAAAAAGTCAATTAGGGCCGGCCCCATGGCTTAGCGGTTAAGTGTGCACGCTCGGCTGCTGGTGGCCCGGGTTCGGATCCCGGGCACGCACCAATGTACTGCTTCTCAGGCCATGCTGAGGCCGCGTCCCACGTACAACAACTAGAAGGATGTGCAGCTGTGACATACAACTATCTACTGGGGCTTTGAGGGAAAAATAAATAAATAAAATTAAAAAAAAAAAAAGTCAATCATTCCACAATTATCTCTTGAACCTCCTCTATAGGGCCACAGTCCACTTTATAAAGTACTAAACTGTTTGGCACAGACCAAGAGGAATGTAAAGGTGCTAAGACGTGGGTAGAGCCCTCGACGACTAACACTCGAGCACCAGAGACGGCTCCTGGTGGGGTCAGAATCAGGATGACAGCCTCTGTGCCACCCAGGTGTGCACTGGAGTGGAAGAGGGGATGGCCCCACCCCCAGAAGCACCAGAGTTCTGTGTTGTGTTGCTGAGCGGTCCTGCATCACAGAATCTCAGGGCTGAGAGAAAGGACCTGTGCCATCCACTGGGCCAGCTGCCAACCCTGCCCCTCGGCAGAATTCCCACCAAAGGAGGTTCTAACCAAAGCAAGCACCCTGCACACGCTGCCCAAGAGACAGAACCCATACCTGGAAGTGGCCCTTCTGGCAGGCCAGGTGGAGTGGGACGGCTTGGTTCACGTTTCTGGCACCCGGACTGGCACCATGCTTCAACAGGAGGGGGACGAGCTCTGCCCGACCGTGCAGGGCAGCAACGTGCAGTGGGGAGGAGCCCTCCTGGTTGGTCACATTTACACCAAGCCCACTGGCAGGAATCTTTGCCAGCTTCTAGTAAGTGCAAAATGGAGACAGAAATGTCAATAGTATTTAAGAAACCAGGCTGAAGAAATCGAAGCCATATACCCCCCACAGCCCCTGTGCAAAATCTGGGATCGCAGTGGGATCCAGAATCAGGCTGTCCCCAGGTGAATTCCTACTACTTTAGAAAGGTGTGATATACCAAAGGATTAACTTCCGTTTTCAAGAAAGCAAGCCCCCTAAAATGATACCCTTTACGCCAAGGCAATTCAAGTGGGAACAGAAAGTCTGTTCAACAGATGGAACAACTGAATACCCACATACGGAAAACTGCACATCAACCCTCATCTCACACCAAACACAGAAATTAAGAATGTATCACAGACCTCAAAAACCTGTAAAAGCTACAAATGTAAACCTCTTGAAGCAAACACAGGAGAAAATCTGCAACACTGGGATAAGCAAAGATTTCTTAGATAAGACACAAGATGCGAAAACCATAAAAGAACAGTTTGATAAACTGGACTTAATAAAAATTTTAAATGTTTGCTCTTTGAAAGAAACAATTACGAAAATGAAAAGGCAAGTCACAGAAAGGGAGAAAATGTTTGCAATATGTGTCTCTGGCAAAGGACTTGTACCAACCAGAATGTCAAAATACAAAAAACTCTGATAACTCAATTAGACAATCCAATTTTTTTTTTTAAATCAGCAAAAGATTTGAAAAAAAATATTTGAAAAGACTTTTCATAAAAGGAGGCCAGAGGAATGGTCGGTCACAGAGCACATAAAATAACATCTTTAGTTATCAGGGAAGTGCAGATCAAAATCAGGAATGACAAAAGCAAAGCGTCAGAACACAGATGGGTGGTTGCCAGGGGTTAACTACACAGGGGCAGGAGAAACTATCGGGACGATGCAGACATCCTGCGTTTTGATGGTGCTGGTGGTCACACGGCCACGTGTTCATGGCCGCATCAAACTGTTTGCTACTTATCTCCATAGTTCACTTTCATTTTTATCATGAAACTACCTTATTATTCACAGTAGTTTTAAAATCAATCATGCCAATATAAGAATAATCAGTCATTAAAATGGCAAATAAAACTGACATAAACGATATAACTAAAAACAAACATTGAATTGTGATGTTGAATCACACATTTTGATAGTGAAATTAATATGTCAATGTTTTATGTGACTGATCAAGGACTAAAACTTTAATTTTCTAGTTCGCTTTTTGATAATTAAAAATGTTATCTCTTAGAAAAACTATATTTTAAATTAAGAGTGATTTACCTCAAAAATCAAAAATAAACACATGAAGAAGTAGGGAGAAAAAAACACAATGAAATACCATTGCACACTTACCAGAATGGCCAAAATTAAAGCCAAAATGGCTAAAGTCAAGAGGCTGTGGGGCACTCAGACCTCTCACACGGCCCGTGGGAACGGAAATGCTCCAAGCACTCGGGGAAGCCGGCAGTGTCTCATCAAGTTAGATGTATACTTACTGTATAATCCAGCAATTACAGCCCTAGGTATTTACCCAAGTAAACATACATTTATACAAAGACTCGTCCACAAATGTTCACAGCAGCTTTCTTCACAAAGCCAAAAACAGGAAACTACGCCACTGCCCATCAACAGGTGATTAGAAAAACCAATCACGGTATATTCAACAAAATACCACCCAGCAGTAAAAAGAAATGAATTACTGATCCACGTGGATCTCAAAAACATTCTGCTGAGTGAAGGAAGCCAGACTCAAGAGTGTGTACTGTGTGGTTCCATTCACATAAAACTCTAGAAAGTGCCAAGAGAAGGCAGAACAGCGGCTGCCTGGGACAGGGACAGAGGGAGGAAGGCAAGAGCTCCAAAGCAGCACAAGGAAGCTCCTGGAGGTGATGCAGACGTTCCACGTCGTGACTGTGGTGATGGCTTCGTGGGTTTATGCCTCTGTACAAACTCACCAAATTCTACACTTTAAAGTATGTAAATTGTACTTCAATAAAGATTTAAAGAAACAAACTCTAGGAGCCAGCCCGGTGGCGCAGTGGTTAAGTGCGCGTGCTCTGCTTTGGTGGCCCGGGGTTCACAGGTTCAGATCCTGGGCACGCACGAACGCACCGCTTGTCAAGCCTGCTGTGGTGGCATCCCATATAAAGTAGAGGAAGAACAGGGCCAATTTTCCTCAGCAAAAAGAGGAGGATTGGCATCGGATGTTAGCTCAGGGCTAATCTTCCTCACACACACACAAAAAAAACCTCTAAATACACCAGTGAGCTAGAAAAGGATGGGCTTCTAGGGCCGGCCCCGTGGCTTAGCGGTTAAGTGCGCGCGCTCTGCTGCTGGCAGCCCGGGTTCGGATCCCGGGCGCGCACCGACGCACCGCTTCTCTGGCCATGCTGAGGCCACGTCCCACGTACAGCAACTACAAGGATGTGCGGTTATGACATACAACTATCTACTGGGCTTTGGGGGGAAGAAAATAAATAAATAAAATCTTTAAAAAAAAAAAAGAAAAGGATGGGCTTAAAGGGAGAGTTTTAATTTAATCACAGACATGAAGACATTTCATTTTGTTTCTTTTTGAGAAATTAGAAAAAGAGAAAAAGAAAAGAGGTTTTCAAAGAACAGGAAACCTAAGGTTTTACCCAATAAATTCAACAGTTATTTTAACGTGTAATTCAGTTTCTTGTTACAACTAATGAACTCTCAGGTGGGGAAGAACAGAGTGTAGGAAACTGACAGAAAGAACAATAACAGAGATGCGTCTAGCCACACAGTCACGGACCGGGCCTGAAGGCTTTGTTTCTCCACAAGGTATCCTCTGAAACATCATCTGCCTTTTTAATCCCTATTTTTCACAGCAGCCCACTTAAGGGAAATCATTTTTTAGACGCTACATGTCCACCAGCATGGGGACAGAAAAAAGGTTGTACATCCCCAGTGTACTTAGTACCCGGCAGCTGAAAATGTGAATGAAAATTTTAGTCATTTCAATATCCTTGGGTTAGAGTAACCATGTGAAGCTTTTAAATAAGGTAGTATTATCTTGCAGTACAAAGGACACCACCACTGTGTCTGTTTTGTAAAGTCAAATTAATTTTCTTAGTATGGGACACACACCGAGTTCAACAGCTAGCACATGAGTGCACACTATGTACACAATGCCATGTTAACAGCTCACAAGAAAATGAAACACTTAGGTACACACTTAAGAAAACATGGACAGGATCTGTACCCTGAAAATCACAAAAGGATGAAGAAATCAAAGAAGACCTAAACATCTGGAGAGATATACCATGTTCATGAAGACTCAACATAGTAAAGATGTTATTTCTCCCCAAATTGATCTACAGTTTTAATGCAATTCCTATCAAAACCCTAACAAGGTCTTTTGTAGACAGAGACAAGCTTATTCTAAAATTTATATGGAAAGGCACAGGCCTTAGCATAGCTAAAACAATTTTGGAAAAAGAGGAATAAAGTGGAAGGAATCAGTCTACCAAATTTCAGGACTGACTATGTAGCTACAATAATCAAGACAGTGTGGCACTGGTGGAGGGAGACACAGATCAATGGGACAGAACAGAGAGCCCAGACATGGACCCACATCATACCTAGTCAACAGGTGCAAAAGCAAGTCAGCGCGGGAAGGATGGCTTTTCAACAAATGGTGCTGGAGCACGTGGACACCCACGGGCAAAAAAGAACCTCAACCTAAGTCTCATATACTGTACAAAAATTAACTCAAACTGGATCACAGACTTAACTGTAAACTATAAAATTATAAAACTTTTAGGAGAAAATATTTGGAATCTAGGGTTAAGCAAGGAGTTCTTAGACTTGACACCAAAAGCATGATCCATAAAAGGAAAAATTGATAAACTAGACTTCTAAATTAAAAACTTGCTCTGTGATGGGCCCAGTCCCGTGGCCAAGTGGTTAAAGTTCTGCGCGCTCCACTTTGGCAGCCAGGGTTCGTGGGTTTGGATCCTGGGTGTGGACCTACTCCACTGACCAGCCATGCTGTGGCAGTGTCCCACATACAAAAAAATAGAGGAAGATTGGCACAGATGTGAGCTCAGGGCAAATCTTTCTCAGCAAAAAAAAAAAACAAAAAACACTTGCTCTCTGAAAAGCCATGTGAAGAAGCTACAGGCAAGCTACAGACTAAAAGAAAATATCTGACAAAGAACTAGAATCTAAAATATATAAAGAACTCTCAAACCTCAACAGTAAAGAAAAAAACAAACCAATAAGGAAAAGGGGCAAAGGAAATGAACAGGCATTTCACTGAAGAGCATAGACAGATGGCAAATAAGCACATGAAAAGATGTTCAACATCATAACCCATTAGGGTAATGCAAATTACAACTACAATGAGATAGCGCTACACACCTATCAGAATGGCTAATATAAAAAATCGTGACAACACCAAATGCTGGTGAGGATGTGGAGAAATTGGTTCACTCATACATTGCTGGTGGGAATGTAAAATGGTGCAGCCACTCAGGAAAAAGTTTGTCAGTTCCTTATAGGATTACCATGTCATTACCACACGATTCAGCAGTTGCATTCCTGGGCATTTATCTTAGAGAAATGAAAACTTATGTTCTCACAAAAACCTGTACACTAATGTACCTATCTATTTTATATGTAAGGGCCGGCCCAGTGGCTTAGTGGTTAGGTGCGCGTGCTCCGCTACTGGCGGCCCGGGTTCAGATCCCAGGCGCACACAGACACACCGCTTCTCTGGCCATGCTGAGGCCGCGTCCCACATACAGCAACTAGAAGGATGTGCAACTATGACATCTAACTATCTACTGGGGCTTTGGGGGGAAAAAAAAGAAGGAGGAGGATTGGCAATAGATGTTAGCTCAGAGCCGGTCTTCCTCAGCAAAAAGAGGAGGATTAGCATGGATGTTAGCTCAGGGCTGATCTTCTTCACGAAAAAAAAAAAAAATTTATATGTAATATCCTAAAACCACAAACAACCCCCATCTCCTTCAACAGGTAAATGGTTTAACAAACAGTGGTACCTACACCATGGCCTACTACTCAACAATAAAGGAATGAACTGTCGATTACATGCAGCAACTTGGAATCATGCTGAGTGAGCAAAGGCAATCCCAAGAGGTTCTATGCTTATGATTCCATTTATAGAAAATGTAATGAGATGAAATGACAAAGTGACAGAAATGGAGAACGGATCAGTAGGTCCCTGGGGTCAGGGATGGTGGGGTGGGGGTGACAGTGAGAGAGGTGGTGTGGTTATAAAAGGGCAACATGAGAGGTTCTTCTTGTGGTAAGCAAACTGTTCTGTGCCTTGAATGTGGTGGCGGATACACAAAGCTACATGTGATAAAACTGGATAGAACTAAACACACACACACACACACGCACGCACGCAAATGAGCACAAGTCAAAGTGGTGAAAGCTACATACGACAGATGGATTGTATCCATGTTGATATCCTGGTTGGGATCTTGTGCTGTGGTTTTGCAGGCTGTTACCACTGGGGGAAACTATGTAAAGGGCACAGGGGATCCTCTGTACTTGGAGGGAGGGTCCTCCCGCAGAGGGTATACCAATGTGAGGTAAGGCAGTGGCATGGATCTCGCATGCCGCCTGCATGGGGACTGCAGCCATGTGGACAGCAACCCTGTGCACATCTGTTCCTAAGCTCCTACCTTGTGACTGAGGGGCCCAGAGAACAGCTGAGACACTGAGCCCGTGTGCACGTCCTTGCTCACTGCCCTGCCCGTTCAGAGCGGAGGCAGCCCAAGCCAGATCCTGTACTAGCGTACGCTTCTCTCCACCCTGAGCTAACTGATCTCCACCACATCTCAGAGGAAACCACTGCCAGCCACTCAGGAATGAGCTGGCTGAGAGGCAGACAACTTTCCTAAGTGGAAAAAAAGTATCTGCCCACCCCCCCGCACCCCCACCCACAGAAGCAAAGCCAAACCTTTTGAGCTGGAGCACATTTGGGGCACTGGCACAAGGGATGACAAAGTTCAAGATCCGCGGCACTGACAGCATCCTCCACCTCATCCAGGTCCTCCTCGGTCCACTCCAGAAGGTAACGCACCTGGTGAGGGGCAGGAAGGAGAAACAAGGGACCAAAACTCAGCCTTGGCTCCTTTCCCAGCGAGAGTATCTTCAACATACACCCTCCACTGTTCCCAGGGCAGGGCCTACACTTCCTCAACCACCCAAGTAACTTCTACATGACAGCTGCTCCCTCACGAAGATTCCAGGGCACACCTGTGCTAAACCTTTCCTAAGTCCTTTTAATGGTGACACAGAGGGATTAAGCTGCCACTTCTGCAACTTGTGTTAGAGATTCTTTTCTTCTCAGAAAGGGGCAGGGCGGTGCCGTGTCAGGGCAAAAGCTTTAAACCCTGGTCCTGGAGCATTTCGTGAGCACCTCCTCGTACACGATCTAATTGTACGCTTTCAACAAGCAGTCCCTCCTCACCTGGGAGAGAGGTCAACAACTCATTCAAGGCCATACCACAGTCAGTGGGGGTCGGAACCTGAACAGGGGCTCTCTGACTCCATGCCAGTGTGCTTTCCACTGTCATGCACTAGCCCACAGGTGAGAGCACTGGAAAGACCCCCAACAGGTCAAATTTATGTTCTAGTAAAGACTAGTTCCTAGGATATTAAACTTGAGAAAAGAAAACAATATAAATACATTTGTAGGCCTGGTTCTAAGCACTAAGGAAGTCAGTGTATGTTCCAGGAAGACCCCCTTCGACCCCAAACTTCTTTCCTCCAGATCCCTTCCACACTCCCGATCACAGACACTCCTCAGGCTGGAAACACCAAAGCCCTCACCTAGCAGGCTAGCTGGGGCAGACAGAGGGCGGGTCCTCGTGACGAGAGGAACAAGATCGGGGGCGGGGGGCAGGTGGCCTCACACAGGGACTTGGAGGCTGTCAAGTGTGTAGATTAGTTGGATGGAGACTCCAGGGCACTGGGCAGTTTGTCCCTGCTCACCTCCTTCACGAGTGGCCTCAGCCCCCTCACCGGCCCAGAGAAGGAAGAGCAGGTGTGTCAGAACACAGAGACAGTCGTAATCTCTTCTCCACACAGGCTCTGCCACTGGCTCACACCATGGCTCGTAGGGTGCCCAAAGAAGTCCTCCTTTCCTTCTCCCAAAAAACACTGGGTCCTCCTGCGGCTGGTCTCACGCAGGAGCAACACAACATCAGCCAGATACAGACACTCGTGTCCCGGCCCCCGAGGAACTGTGTGGATGAAGAGTGGCCTCCTGGGCAAAGGCCAGGACACTTGTAACTGCATTCAGACTCTTGATACCCCACAGGCGGTTATGACAGGTCCCAGTCATCTGTCCACCACCTCAAACTCAACATCAGCGAAAAGCAGTCCCAAAACACACACCATGCGAAGCTCTCCTGTAACATGGTTTATTCAGAACTCCTAATTTGGTAAGCCCTTAATTACTCCTCCTTTTAAAGTGGAAAACGGAACAAATTCCTTTCAGGAAGCTGGCTGAAGGCAAGCCAGGGAAAAGTGCCCACGGGAATCTCACAAAGGCTGTCTCCACTCCCCAGGGATTGCATCACGGATGGTCCCTGTCACCCGACAGTGAGGGTTAAGATACCTTCCCTCCAGCCAGGACATCCTCTCCACGTGCCAACCCAGAGTAGCCAGCACCATCTCATCGAGACACCTGCTTGTGACTCCTTGGGGCCCCAAGCCTCAGACCTCGGCCTCCTGGCCCAGGGGTCACAGCCGTCCAGAACTTCTACAGGGCCACACAAACGCCCTCTGGGCTCTGCCTGCACCTCCTCCGCCGCCTCCTCACCCCCACCGCTGTCTGCTCATCTTGCCCCCTGCTGGTGGGCCCGGGCTCTGAGCCCACACTCTGTGCCCCTGGACATGGGCTGGTCTTCTTGCCAACATCTCACCACCCTCCTGGAATACAAATGTCTGAAAGGCGAGGACCTGCTCACAATGCAGCTTTCTGTCCACCTGTCCATTACTTGTAGGGAAAACAAGAACGTGTCATTACCAGTTATTTACGACGTGCCCCTTCTACGTGAGAGGGAACAAAATCCACACAGCTCCCACGTCAACTGGGGACAAGACACAGGTGTGGCTGTTTTAACCCAAGAGCAAGCTTTTTTAAATGCCCTTCTAAACACTCACCATTTCTAGATCTCCATCAGCTACTGCTCTTAAAAGTTTTTCTACCTTAATAAAAGGAAAAAGAATGTTAGAAAAATTATTTTAATACAAAATAAAATAGAAATAATAAAAACAACATTCTGAAAGCCTAGTAGCTTTCATTTGTCTCTTGATCTGTGGAGGTTTAACAAATCATCCAGTCCCTTTCAAACATATCCCTAAAACTGTCAGACAGGACACCCCAGGAGGGTGCTGGTGTGCACTGAACCATCACCATTTAAGGTCTATAAAATGACGCTGCTGTTTATGTGGTAAGGTGCAATGATGGTCACCTTGAAGCACAAGTGCTCCCCAAGAAGCCAGCCACCCTTTAGAATGACGTATCTTCAGCTCTCCTTATCCACTGGCTGAGGGCACACCAGGGGGACACCCCTCCCAAGAATGAGTCCAGGTCTCAGTTAGAATTGGAGTGCATCTCTTGGCTTTCTTTGCTGTGCTTTTGCATCAAGCTAAGCTTACTGGGCCCTCCAAGAGCAGGTCAGGGCTTGGGGGTGGCAGGGGAGGGGGGCCCTGGGTGGAGTCAGTGAGGGTTCCCCATCCACAGGAACAGGCAAAGGAACCGTGGCCCATCCATGCAACAGCCTGCTCTGTAGGCTGACAGTGGACAAGCTCTGAGACAGGTTAAATGGAAAAAAAAAAAAACAGGCTATAAATCAGCTTTTGCAAAACGCAATGTGGGAGTGCCTGCAAACGTATACATGAACTTTGCAAGAAGTCAGGAACGACACGCATCAGGTTAACGGGGTGCTTAGGGAGTGGGAGGGAAGGACTGGGAACTTATGTGGCAAAACGATCTTAAATCAGGGGACCTACAGGTCCCTCTCTCTCTCTCTCTCACACACACATGCACACACGCACACACGCGCGTGCTGCCCACAAAGAAAGAGCTGCTTCGGGAGCAGACCAGGAAGGGCAAGCAGGTAAGAACTGGCTGGGCTCCTCGTAAGCGCACCAGCCTCCGCCACAGCAGACGTGAGTGTCCCAGTAACGGCGAGCAGGCCGATGGGGCAGCGCTCGTCAGGCATGGCTCTTTAACTGGCTGCCATAACGCAGGGCCGCCCAGCCCTTGTGTCCACCCTCTGCCTGGGAGCCTCACCTCTCTGTAGTCCTTCTTGGGGTCCTCTTGTCTGGAGCTCGCTGACACGGAGGAGAAGCTGGAGGTGGAGGAGCCCTGGCTGATGGAATCCACAGAGCGCTGCGGGGAACGCACAGGGACCTGGAGCACAGGAGCCCGCCAAGAGAAGGGACGTGTGAGGGCCAGAGAGGGGGCCCTGCTCTCAAATAGGGCCAACAAGCACAGTCCTGTCCACGTACCTCTGAAGACCTCTGCCTCCTTTCGAGGGACAGGTGACGGGCTTCCATTATGGACAGAATCTGGGAGGATGAAGGGGACATGAAGAGCACTAAACGAGATGGGTCACCAAGTGTCATCAGCCACAAGGCCCCACTGCCTGCCCATCTCCTTAGAAGGTGCACGCAGCCCAGCCATACCCTTGGAGAGCCAGAGGAGCCAAGGTCTGGAGCAGGTGGGAACGTGGCATCGCACTGATTAAGTCTGGGCTTCTTCCACCAGACCACCACTCCTGCTGGCCCACAGGAGGAGCTGTGCTTCCCATGGATGGGCTCAGAGGACAGGAGAAGCCCAAGCACAGAGGGGCCTCAAAGGCTGCCTTGTCCGGTCCCGGCTGTTTGTCCACAGGTGTAAAGTGACCTTTGCACTGGCACCCGTGGGTCTCAAGCAGGAGCAGCTCAGAACGGAGCCAAGAAGGCAACCTCCCCCTTCCCTCTGCAGGTGTCCCTCTAGAAGGGGCCTCTGGTAGAAGCTACAGCAGCAGAGGAGCCCTCAGCTCCTCACGGGCATCTCAGGCCAAGGGCAGCACTGCCCAGTCCCAGCAGCCCTGGCGGCTACAAAGTTGAGGACCCCCTGGGGTCGGGCGCAAGGGTGTAAACCTTCAAAAACCGTCTTACTGTAGATCTGATGTTAACAAAAATAACCACAATAAATAAAGAGGGTGGGAGGAAGTTTTGGAGGGGATGGATAGGTTTACGGCATCGATTGTGGTGATGGTCTCGCAGGTGTACACTTACCTCCAAACTCACTGAGTTGTACACATTAATTATGTACAGCTCTTTGTATATCAATCAGACCTCAATAAAGGGGCTTACAAAAACATCGACAAAAACTGTGCTACTCCAAGAAGACAACATGAACAAACTGAAAAGCTCCCGAGAAGAGCGGTGGAAATTGTAGAAGGGAGCCAGTAAAACATCTGGAGGCAGAAGGCAGGGGATGTGCAAAGGGAGACAGCTGGAGACCTGTATTAAAATGCAATGGCTCATGTGAGCCACAAATCAACGATGTTCTGGACACAGCAGCCTCATGACCCTGGACTTCGACAGCGCATGGCCCTATGCTTCCTCGGGCTAGCTGGCTGAACACGCTCTCTGAAGGCATCAGGCTGCTGCTGGGAGACGAGGCACGAAGAACTGGTCTCCATAAGCTCCCCCTTTCCCCACCCACTCACGAGGTGAGTACTTCACGACGCGCTGCCAAAAACTACGTTTCCAGAAATTACTACCAGGAAAGGATGAGTAGTTCATTAGCAAATCATCTATGAACGAAACAATATGATGTTCAAAACTGGCCAAATCAGAATAAGGTTTTTAGGAGCCAAGGGTGAAGTAACAGGAAAACAGAGCCCGACACACTGCGTCCACACCCCAGGCCCTGTCCCTGCTTTTCTTGGCCAGAGCCACCATCCTCTTTCACCTCCTCCATTTGCTCATAAACCAACAGCACTCAGAGGCCGGGGCAAACAAGGCTGGGAGCAGCTCTTGGAACAACACTGAGAAAAATTGCTAGTAAAACTGAAAATAATATAAATAAGTAAAACCCATTAACAACCAGCTCCTAAATGTAGAAGAGAGGTGCAAGCCAAGTTCTGTCCTCAGGCACTAACGCACAGTTTGTCCAGTACAGCCAAGACCTAGTCTGTGGACACTGATTTTTTTAAAGTCATTGCTGCTCTAAGATGAAAAAAGGCTACCTTTGAGTTCAGTGCACACTTGAGGGGCGTTTCCTTCAGTCTGTTCTGGATCTCCGTGGATGCTCCATTTTGTAGCAAAGTCTCTATGATGCCCTGGTAACCCCAACGGGCAGCTATGTGTAGTGGAGTGTCTCCTTTCTCGTTGCCGATATCGAGTCTGCACGACTGCACATCATAGTAGACCAAAGCCTTCACACACTGCGAAGAAAATGGGAGAGCGACCATTAACTCCCACACCAGGCCTGGGGCAATGTCTGTGCGCTCCACAGCCTCAGTCCGTGTCCCAGTTCAATCCAGGCTCCACTCACTAGACAACTGTGCAGTGACAGAGTCAGACCTCAAGGGTTCCAGGTTACCTGATCAGGACACATCATTTTTTCAAAAGAACCCAGCTGCCAATCAGTAAGAAAAGGCTGAATAACACTGCGATGTACCCAGGTGCAGGAAGGAGTTACCAGAGCAGGCCTGAGACCGCTACCCCTTGAAAGGCCTGCCTGCAAGGCTAGCCCTTGACATGCAGTGTTCCTTGGGAGCCTGGATTTGGGGAGTGTTCCCACAGTCCCTTAACTGGTAAGAGGGGCTCAGTGTGCCTAAACTGTACAACAAAGTGGTTTATGCTGAATACCCGCTTTCCTTCTGGGAGTCTGGAATTTGGGTACATGCTAGGCAGGGGGTGTATATGTGACCAGCCTCCAATGAACATCTCAGGCCCTGAGTCCCGAATGAGCTTTCCTGGTAGACAGCACTTCACACGTGTTGTCACAACTCTTTGCTGAAGGGATTAAGCCATACTGTGTGACTCCCCTGGGAGAGGGGAGTCTTAGCAGCCTGTGTCTGGTTTCCTCCAGACCTCACCCCGTGCACCTTTCCCTCTGCTGATTTTGCTTTGTGTCCCTTTGTGGAATAAATCAGAGCCCTGAGTACAACTACATACTGAGTACTCCTAGCAAATCACTGAACCTGGGGCGGTCCTGGGGACACTGACACAACACCTATAATAGATTACTGTGTAGCAACTAAAGAATGGGCTAGATCTACATTTATTGATCTAGAGGATTTCCATGATGTACTGTTAAGTTAGGAAAGCAAGTTGCATAAAAATGTGTAGGGTATGATCCCATTTTTGCACATCAACCACCTAACCCAGCCTTAACCCTATGTATAAATCCATCTTTGTACCACTATGGGGAGAAGGGGAGGAGAGAGTGGTTGGGAAAAAATAACACACACACAGTTAAACATTAAGTGAAAATGGAAATTATAAAGTTCCTTGATATTACTATAAAAATGTAAAAATTGAATATCAACAAAGGTAAGAACCAGAGGGTAGCAGGGATAAATGAAAATGATTTAATTTCAGGATAAGATAATGGGCAATTAAGTTTTAGATTTCAGTTATTTCAACATAGCATCTGTAATAAATTTTAAATTTTTTAATTAAAAAAATTACAGACCAAATATCCCAATAATTATCAACACAAAACACTACATTAAACTAATTAGTGTAACGAGAAAGGGGCAAGATAGCGGCTTTCGGAACGAGAAGCACCACTTACGTCTTCGTGGCCGTAGGTGCAGGCCAGGTGCAGAGGGGTGCTGCCGTTGTTATCCTGCACCTCGGGGCTGGCTTTGTAGTGCAACAGCAGCAGCTGCCGAGGAGAGAAGAAAGTGATGAGCGCCAGCACCCGAGGTGCAGGCACACGCTTCCTCAGGAAGGGTGGCCTGGAGTCCTACAAGGGGTCACTCGTCTCCTTTTTCAATCCCACTTACCTAAACTACAATTAAAACGGTGTCATCACTCTCATCCTCCCTTACAGCAGTGCAGAGATTACAAGTGTACGGCCCCACCCTTCTTCCCCCAGATTATCATCTCAAATCTACACCTAACAGTTCTGTCCAGCAGACCCACAGGGAGGTGCCTCGACTGGCAGCCCCTCTTGTGCAGCTGCAGGGAGCCCGTGCGGAACAGAGGAGCGCGCCAGCATGATGGTCAAGTCGGAAGGCGGAGCCCAGCTCCGCCTGGCACGCGCCCAGGGCACCTGCATGCACACGGGGCACCTGCACGCACACAGGGTGCCCCCCTGCTCACCGTCACGCTCTGATAGCCCTTCTGACAGGCCAGATGAAGCGGAGTGGCCCCATGATAATCCGTGGCGTTCACCACAGCACCTTTGGAAACCAGGAGGTCAATGAGGGCCGCCTGCCCTGCAGAACAGAAGGACTTCACAATGGAGAAGGAAAGAGAAGAGGCTCTCCAAACCCTAAATGTGAAGCCACAGCATTATTTTATTCCCTGGCAAGAGACATGCCAGGAAGTATTTTTTGGCTTGAGAGGAACCAGACTGATGTCAAGGCAGACCCTGCAAATTCAGGACACTCTGGGGTGGCCCTGGAGGGGACCTGGCTCCAGAAGTTAGTGGAAAAGAGCCTTAGACGCCCACAGAAGACTTCATGGTTCATCAATTCATAGGATGGAATATTATGCAACCATTAAAAAAATACTGACAAGAAGAAATGTTCTTATATATTGCCAAGTGAAAAAAGCACAGGACAGAACAGTATGATCCCCACAATCTCATATATTTTATAAATACATACATACAAGCATGCCAAAATCCCAGACACTCACAAATCAAAATTATCCCTGGAACATGGAAGGATGGCAGGTGATACTGGCGAGTTTGTGTTTTTTACTTTGAATGCTTACTTTAAAATACAATACAATTATTTTTTAAAAGCAGGACTATGAGAACCCCAATTCTGAGACCACTCTCATAGCTCGGACTCAAGCCTTCCCTCACTAGATGACCAGGTCAGGGGCCGTGTCAGGTGTGTGCACAGTGGGACTATGGATACGTGCTCTTCCAGCCCGGGAGACAGCAGATGGAGGCCCTCAGGGGCAGACCCACGCACAGCCCCTTCCACCACCCCAACTCCACGGCCCCCTCTCAGCCAGGCCTCCACCGGGCCACCCCTGGCTCCATCTCTTTGCCTTGCTAGCCCACAGAGGCCAGCCTGAGACCACATACCACAGAGGGCAGCCACATGGAGCGGGGTGTGACCCCTGTCATCTCTGGAGAATGGAGTGACAACTGAGGGATCATTCAGCCTTCTAAAATAAAGAGAAGATACAGAAAAATACACCCTAGCAACGGCATGGCAAAGCCTCTCCCTGACCAGGCTGCCCATGCCAGGGTCCTGGGCTAGAAGACCGAGCTCCGAGTGTGATCCAAGCTGGGTCTCTTCTGCAGTGCCCCAGAGATCATCAGGCCCTGCTCGGTCTCCCGCAGGACGAGGAACTGAAGCGTCTAGTTCCAGGGTCCCTCCTCCCACCCCACCCCGAAACAGCCTGACATGAATAAGGGGAAACCAAAAGGTTGCTGGGAGAGGGTAATATTCTTCCATCTTAAAACCCACTTTCTGAGGCTGGGCAGGCTCTTCACCTGCCCACCCTAGTATCCAGCCCAGCAGTGCCAAGTATTTTTAGAAACTTTATGCCATCTGATTCTCCAAAGAGGTGGAGGTTTTGTCTCCACTTTACAGCAGAAGCAGCAGCGAGGATAGCTCCTTATTCAAAACCGCATGGCAAACACGTGGAAAAGTCCCGCCCAGGCCCTGAGTCTCCCGCTTCCTGGCACACTGAGCCTCCACGAGGACCCACTTACCCAGAGACGAGTTTCTCGCACTCGTCACAGAAGCACAGAGGGTGACACATCTTTTGGACGGCATCTTTGTCTTGGTCGTCTTGGCTCAGAAGTCTTTCCACTTCTTTCTGGTTACCTGATGCAATGTGCTAAAAAGTGACATCAAAAAAATTACTGATATTAAGGCATTATTTACTTTTTAAGGTGAGAATTTTTTTTTTTTTTAAAGATTTTATTTATTTATTTTTCCCCCAAAGCCCCAGTACATAGTTGTCTGTCATAGCTGCACATCCTTCTAGTTGCTGTATGTGGGACGCGGCCTCAGCATGGCTGGAGGAGTGGTGCCTCGGTGCGCACCCGGGATCCGAACCCGGGCCGCCGGCAGCGGAGCGCACGCACTTAACCGCTAAGCCACGGGGCCGGCCCAAGGTGAGAATTTTTTGATGTCCTTACAGAAACACGTATCTATGTATGTATGGAGCGAATGACTTGCTCTCTGCGATTTGTTTCAAAATAATCTGGGTGGATGGGGAAAGTGGTGGGGTAGAGATGAAACAAGACGGGGAGATGGCCACATGGGGGTTCGTTCACTCTACTACTCTCGTTCATTTTTGTAAATGTTAGAAATTTTCCATAATTAAAAAAACAACATGACAAAATTTCCAAAGCAACAGGAGTCGGGAGGCAATACATCCTGACCCTCAGTGTGGATTCGGACACCTCGCTAGAACAAGCCCTGGTTCTGTCCTCTTGTATTCTGGAGCCTCCATTTGGGGGGAAAGAGAACAGCTGCAGCTGGCAGGAGACCTCATCAACAAACAAACCCGCAGGGCCCACCCCTGTGACTCCTGGATGTGCTCCTCTCAGGGAGAGAGATGTCCTGGGGAGCACATTGCCCTGGGAGGCTCCCTGGGACCCCATGGAACCCACTCTGGCTCTGGGTAGCCTGGAAGCCTCAGCAGGCTCCCCAAGGAGGTCGGCCCTCACCCAGCCCTCGCTGACTGCCTGGCAGAGCACCTCGCTAGCCCCCAGTGGTCAATCAGACCTGAGTAGGGAGCTGCCTGCATGTGCCATATGACCAAACCACCACCGGTGCTGAGCTCCCAGCCCAGGGCACACACACGAACATCTGTGATACGGGCTCCTGGAGCCGAGGAGAGGCATCAGCTCCGCTGGAGCTACCAGTGAGCTGGCTCTGAAGAACAAGAGGACAGCCTGGCACGCTCAGTGTGCCATCCAGTGTGGCTACAGCACAGCACAGCACACATGGGGGAGATGGGAAGACGTGCTGATCCCAATGTAAACCTCAGTAATCCTACCACCCACTCAGCACAAACGAACGTCAGTGCTTAACTACATAGACCACCCTGATACAGTGTAGAGGCTCTAGAGACGTGGAGAGATGGAGTGCTCCTCACACATCTGTGCCCACAGATGTCTTACCTTAAAAAGACAGTCAATGGGAGTTGAAGTCATCTGAGACAGTAGGCTCATTCTCTGCTTAAGGAACAGTCTGTCACCAAATCCCTCAGACTCCTACAGGAAAAAACCGACAATCTGTTGTATTACACGTCACGAGGTATCAGTGCAGATCCTTCAAAATAGAAGACCCAGGAACATCTTTGCCATTTCCCACAGAACAGGGTCAGCAGTGCCGTGTTGCCCTTCACTGAGCCGGAGAGCAGACCCTCCTGGGGCTGGGAGAAGTGTTTCCTGGTGGGGATCTGAGATCTGGGAGAGTGCCGGCACTTGGCTAAGTGTGCGTGCATGTGTGTGCATGTGCACGTGTGTGGAAAATGCCACCTCTAAGTGTGGAATGTAGCACGCTCACACCATCATCCTCCAGAGGGAAACCTGGATTGTCCTGGCCTCCTCCTCCTCTCAAACCTCTGTCATAAAGCCTGCCTAGCCCTCTCCCCTGCTATTTTACCTGGGCCTACAGGAAAACCATCTGACAGGCTGGTCTATATTCCCAGTATCAACCAGCAGGAGGGAGGGGTTTTGCTTTTAGAACACCCTTATTAAAACAGCAGACAATATGACCACTGGCCTAAAGTCCAGTAAGATACTGGGGTCACTCCAATTAATAAATTCAGGTCTTCATATTGCAGGTAATGTTTACCTACATACAAAAATCTAAAATGCATCCTTCCTTTATGAAATAATTTCTAGCAAGGCACTTCAACACTCACTTGAGCACCTGCAACTCAAGTGTCTACCGACAAAGTACCCTCCTCAAAGAGTCTTGTGGGAGGTAAAGAGAATCTTTTCCAGCCAGCTGCTGCCAGAAGAACTCACCAAACCCTGACAAAATCACGGGACAAGCTCTCTTTATGGCCTAAGTTCTAACTAAGTTCTAAGTTCTGACTGATAGGTCCAGCTAACAGCAGAGCCAACAGCAAGCACCTTGGCGGAAGGACCATTTCTGGGGTCCACTGTCAAACAGGGTCCCTCACACCAGCTGCCCTAAGAGGGTTAACTTGGCAAACAAGCACCAACCCTCGAATTAGAGCCACTTGTGCGCCCAGCTGCTGTATGCTATATAACACCCCAACAGCCTGCTTTATTCAGTGATTTACAGCCAAGCAGCTTAGGGTCCAAGAAATGTCAAAGACTATTACTGTTCAGGTAAATGTGGGGCTCCTTCCTCAACTCTGGGTGACTATCTGCAGGGCAGTGATGAAGACAGGCAGGTCTTCTAGGACTGAATCTTCAGGGAAGAATGAGCTACCAGAAGAAACAGCATATCAGCTAAGACCTATTTGGGAAAGGGGCAAATATTATTTACTAGAAACCCAGTGAAGTGAGAAAGACCAGAAGCCTGCAAAGCTGGAGCAGAGACACGGACAGATTCTTTCAGGTTCTCCCCGCTGGTTTCTGTCCACAAAGGTTACACCAGTCATCCCAGTAATGTTCATTTTCAAAGAGCTACAGTCTTTATTTATGAGACTTCAAGTCTTTATGCTTAAAGAACATACGGTCTCCTCAAGTATGATTATACCTAGGAGAGAAAATTTCTGTGAAACTACATTCTATTAAATGAGAGTTGATAATAAGACATAATTGAATTTACTAATATTCAGTCCTTAATGCTTTTCAGAAACCTCACTCGCTGTGTGGAGATATCACGGGTGCTCTCCCCAGGAAAGGACACAACACACAGCAGGGCCTCACACATTCCTAGATGGAACTGCACTACTGAAAAGACACCAGCCGGCAGCTACAGCAGAGGCGACACCACAAGACAGAACCCCAACGCTGGCGCCACCACACCTGCTCTGTCAGTCAAGGTGAAGAGCGTCTCTCAGGCCTGCCACTCAAGACCCAAGGGACGGGCTTTACAGCCAGCAGGAAGGATGACGCACACCTTGTCCCAACGTCTGACGGGACCAACCATCCCCATTTGGGAAGGCAGGACCAGGGACAGATGCCCCAGACAAGAGTGGAGTGCTAGGCTGTGTCCCCGCCTTGCCCACCCAAGCTAACAGCCATCCTTGGGGCTATCCATGCAGGATGCACCAGAGAACCAGGAAACAGAGACACCCAGAGGCAGGGGGGTTGGAAGAGCAAGTAAGGGCACCAGTACCACTTCATGCCTCAAAAAGCCACTTTCAAATATCTCACTCGATTCTCACAGCTACCTAGCAAGGGGTGAAAAATAAAGCATGGACAGAGGCTGAGAGAGACAAACAGACTTGCCCATGGGCAAACAGAAGTGCTGGACTCAAACCAACACCAGCACAAGAGGGGCCGCCCCTCAAACACTTCCCCAATCCCACCTGGAATATTTTCGGAACTAAAAGTGGGTGTGGGAAGCCTACCGATACTGTTCGGTCAGCCACCTCCTTACACTCCGGCCAAAGGCCTTCAAGTGTCGGCCTTCCTGCCTACACACCATGGAAAGTAAGAAAGCAGCATGGCCCCAGTACAGTCTGGGGGCAGCAAGGGGACGGGAGCACCTTCTGGAGGTGGGCACCTCCCTCCAGGGACAAGGAGTGCTCTGGCCCCATCAAGAAGCCTCAGGTGATTCCTCTGCCGGGTGGTGGAGCCAGCAGGGGAGCAACCTCTCAGACCGACCAGAGGGAAAGAACCAGAAGGGCAACAGCCCAGGCGCTATAGGAACAACATGTTCCTAGAACCTCACAGAAGACAATCCAAACTAAGAAATCTTACTCCCAACTACAGAGTGAGCGGCAATTCTGATTCTGCAGACACGTGTGCATGCAGAGGCACACGTGCACACACATGTGCATTCTAGAATGTTAGTGATTTCCCCCTAAATCAGAAACAAATTTTCTCAAGAGTCACAGGCAGCCACATTTGAGCTGAAATGGACAGCCTCTAATTTCACGTGCGTATGTGTGGGAGATCAAATCAGACCCCAGACACTCCAGTGAGTACCACGACACTGTCAGGCTAGGTGCCAAGGAGTGCAGCAGAATCTCAAATTTTGGTTAAAATACAATTGTATAGGCAGAGAAAAAAGACATAAACCAAAATGTTAATAAAAGTCATCCCGAGCTGGTGAGTTTATGAGAGGTTTTTGTTGTCTTCACTGCAACTTTATATATTGCAAATATTGTCTATAAGCAAATATTAGTCTTCTAATCAGAAAAGAATAAAACTGTTCTTTTGGGGAAAACACAGCATACAATATAATTTCAATTACGTAAAGTATACACAGATAAGAAAAGACTGGAAAATACATAAACATGTTAACGATGAATGAACTCAGGGCAACAGCTTTTCCCGGAGTGCACCTGTCTGGACAAGCCTGTGCTCTCTTCCAGGTGTTTTGACTTAACGTTACTTTGGGAAAGTCTAACATCAGTAGAAAATTAAGATCAAGAGAATGTCCAATCCTCAAGACTCTTGGCTGGTAATACAGAAACCTCTTCATTTTATTAATGTGAACTTTGCGATTTCTGTGAGTACTGTCATGTTTTGCCTGTTGGTATGTACTGAAATATGCCAGCGAGGCAATCTTGGCTTAAGATTCTCACAATTCACATAGAAATAAAATCACCTCCCCTAGCCAAAGCTCACCAACCAAGAAAATAATAATAAGGCTACTGAGTCCTAAACTTGCACACATTAATAATCTCCTTTCTTGCCTGGCTAGCCAAATTCACCATTTCTAGCTTCCCCTTCTGCTCATGTGCTTCTGAGGATGATAAGCACTAAGGAAGCAGGACGTTAACAATGTGAGTCCTGATCAGAACCCGCCAACTTGCACATCCAATTGGGGGCCTGGTGTTCAGTCTGCTCAGTGGCTGTCAAGCCTCACAGCCCTCAACAGCTGAGGCCCATTTTCGGGAGACCATTTAAGAATCCCCTCTCCACCCCCCAACCTCAGAACCCTATCAAACATGCCACGACACCCACAAAGAAAAGCCAGGGCAGGGGGAGAGCTTACGGGCGGTTTAATGGAGAGGTTTCCTTGGCGAATATATTCGATTGCAGCCTCAATTGAGGTCAGGCAGTATCCCAATTCATCTTTTGCTGAGGTGCTAAATCTGAAGTTTTTGATGTAACTCAAATTTGCCATCCTAACAAAAGAAAGAAAAAAGCTTTATTCTTGTCTACTCAGTTACCACTTTTGCAGAAACAACGCCCTTGGGCTGGGAGACTGAAGTCAGCTAGTTCCGGGGAGCCAAGACCACTACCCACTTGCTCTCTATTTAGAACGCGTACAATTAGGAAAATAAGTAAAACTACTTGTTACTTTCCTGCAATAGGCTAGTTTTTAGAAAGCTGATTATCGTAAAGTGAACTGTGGGTTTCTGTGGGAAGAGGAAGGGCTCTGGATCCAGACAGAACTGGAGTCAGCTTCCCACTCAGTCAATGACTAGCTGAGTGTTTCAGAACAAGAAACATCAGCTCTCTGGGCCTCAGTTTCCCCATCTGTAAATGGAATGATAGCCACCACCTGCAGAATGAAGACAGAGCAGGCACAGTAACCGACTCATAAGAGATGCTCAATTTCCTAGAGTTATACCAAAGCCACCACAGTACTGTGCTGCCATTTTGAAAAAGTATTTTAACAAAACAAGATTACCAATTGGGGATCTCTGTTTTCACAAGCAAATATAACAGGACTGACAGCAGATCATCAGCACACATGGTCTCCAAGTTAACTGCAGGGGGAAATACATGTTCAAAGCCATCAGGAGACGCAAATGGACCAGCAAGCATATCAACTCCCCACCACCATCCAACCCACAAAAGCATAGCCCAGTAAGATTACACATCAGGGAGAAATTCAATTGCACAATTTCCTTTACAGTGTCCTGAATACATGTCAGATTCAAGAGGAATACGAATGCCTAGCATTGTCACAACTTGTTAGTGCAAAAGAAGGAAATTCCAAGCAGACCACCCCTCACCACCTTCCGGGACGGTTAGAGAGGCCCAGGGACGTCAGCGACGGTGGACACAAGCTAAGGTGTGCCCACAGCCACCTCCAAGAGCTTCTTTCCTCCTGAGATCATTTCCATTTTATACACTGCGGAGACCAATGCTGACATGTAGCCTAATTTTATTTTTTTCATTTTTAAGTAATTCATTCACACGTTTAAAAATTCAAACAACATCAAAGAGCAAGCCATGCATGTCCTTCCCATCCTTGCCACCCATACTTCTTTCCCAGAGGCTACTGCCGCTGCTTCCCACATAGCTTTCCAGAGAGGGTCTCCAAATTCACCATCATATATATGGGTACAGAGCCATCCCCCTCTTTCTGTAATGCTGTTGGAAGTGTACCATATACACTCTCGTTTATTTCATTTAATATGCTTTGAAGATCATCCTCTATCTGCACACACAGATCGGCCTCCTCGTTACTTTTTTCTTAGCTTATTTTGTTTTGATTTACTTTTTCTCATGGAAAATTTTAAACAGATACAAAATTTGGAGAACAGTCTAACAAACAGTTGAACCGCCATGTACCCATCACCAGCTTGGCTCATTTTTGAGGTTGTTGCTTCTCTGCCACTATTTTCTTACCCTAATCATGCCTAACTGAACTCCCCCAATTACTAGGCACCCATTCATCAGAACAGACTCTGGGATGCTCACACTGGATGCTTAAGACAGCACTGCTCCTTAACAGACTTTTGCATCTGGCCATACGCAGATACCCCATTGCCAGGCCCCTTCCCCGAGCACAAACCTCTCTGGCTAGGAGATTGCGTAATGAGCTGCACCACCTTTCGCAAACAAACCAGCTTCTGTTGTGGGGAGGTGCATTTGTTCAGCTGAGCCAGTTCCCTCTTTGCACGAGGTATGTTGAAGCTGTGAAATAATTGGGAAAGTGACAAGACCCCAGTGTGAGGGCCCTTCTTCCTTGATCTAATACCATACCTCAGATTTACATTTCTAACAACAAACCGTAAATAATGAAAAACAAAAATAGAGGGGCGGCCTAGTGGCACAGCGGTTAAGTGCGTGCACTCCGCTTCAGCAGCCCAGGGTTCACAGGTTCAGATCCCATGCGCGCACTGACACATTGCTTGTCAAGCCGTGCTGTGGTGGCGTCCCATATAAAATAGAGGAAAATGGGCATGGATGTTAGCCCAGGGCCAATCTTCCTCAGCAAAAAAGAGAAGGATTGGCACTGGATGTTAGCTCATGGCTAATCTTCCTCACAAAAACAAACAAACAAACAAAAAACAAAAATAGAAACTTAGAAGTAATCAAACTCAAGTCAGTGGCAAAAGACAACAGCTTTAAATGTCCCATTCAGGCTGTCAGGTGATATAGCTGCCCCAGAAAATTGGAAAAAAAATCAAAAATCCTCAGCCCCAGACTAAAATGGCCCAAGGGGGAAAAAAAAAGTTTAAACATAAATACCCATTTTTGTTTCCTAATGAAACTTAATTCAAAAGGAGGTGCATCTATGGCAGTGTTCCCTCAGATGGGCAGGTGAGGAGAGATGTCAGCATGTGGGACCCACCTGGGCGAGTCGTGTGCCCACCTGGAGTCCCCACCCCCGTTAGCTCCCACCCAGCAGGCATGCTGGCACACAGGTGCAGCAGGGCGACAGCTACAGTCAGCTGCTAATTCAGCCCTTGATCTTTGGTCCTCAGTACGAACTAAGTCAAATCAGCGTGCTGCCACCGCTGCTTCTGGGAGGAATGATGCCCCAGCCTCTGAGTACCCCGAGCTGCCACAGAGCAAACCCTTACCTGAACTCGGGCTTCACACCAATATCTTTCTGCTGAAGGTCTTGGAGGCTTCTCGTGATTTTGTTAAAGGTGGCATCCTAACAACAGATTTTAATGAAGCTTCAAATGTCTTAAAAGGCTCAGAATAAGGCGTCCATCCGGGATGACAATGATTTAGAACCTACCTCGCTCGCCTCCATGGTCCCCACGTATTTAAAGATCAGATCGTAAATATCGTGCTGGACATACATCTGTGAAATCAGTGGGCCCAGTTCAGGGTGTGGGGGCAACAAGGGGAGGCCCTGGCCCTGCTGCCTCCTCTCCCCGTGATGCCCTGGCCTCCTACCTCCACCGCCTGCTTCATCAGGTTCATCTGGGCCTCCTGCTTGGCGAGCACTTTCTAGAGGACAAGGAAAGTACAGTTAAAGAGCTTGGATCTACAGGCAGGCAAACCGCAACCCTCTCTTTGGAAAGTCCTGCTGCTCACCAGATGCGAGTCCCTCAGCAGCTGCTGAAGGCATTTGGTGTAGAGAGCGTTCACCGAGTCCTGCGCAACACAGAGCAGAGAGACGGGTCACTCTCGTCATCTGAGGCCGCCACCCCAAACCCAGAACATCAAATGCAGCCTGGAGCGAGAACATTTCACACAATGTATTTCTTGGGTGACAAGCTTTCAGTTCTAATGCAAGCTCATTACATCAATTATGTGATTTTTTTCAACGTTTTTTTTAGGCGTATATGCATTAAGAGCAATAAAAAATTCCCCTTGGGGTTAACATAGATGATAATATTCATTTTTATACTTCTCTATGATTTTCAAGTTTTCCACAGTGGCTTGTACTACTTTTAGAGCTAGAAAGAAATATTCAAACGAAACCTCCAACTGTGGAGGCAGCAAAGTTTCAGAGTGAACTGAGAGGGATCCGGGCGCCCTGAATTGGCCTGAGACAGGGCACGCCTGGCAAAGCAAGACACGCTACTGACTATGTGATGACGGAGGCTCTTTCTTTCGCATTCCCTGAACATTCGCTGGAAAGAGGTGATGTTCTTGTCAAACCTCTCCGAGTGTCTTCCCAAAAACTCTCTCACATCTTCAATGGTTTTCAGAGAAAAGGAATCTGAGGGGGTTGAAGGCTCTTCTGAAAAAGAGACAGAGGGTCAGGCTGGCTAAAGCCTTCACTGTTTCCTACCAGAGGAAATGCCACATCCTTTGCCCTGCTCCCCCAGGGTCTGGGGCCCCATCTTCCAGGGAAGGAGAGGGATGACCTGATTTAGATATTGCCCAAGAGCAGCCCAGTGACAGGACAACCCAGGGTCCAGAGAGCCTGATCCTCTTGAAGCCCTTCAGTGGGACAAACCTGGACTATTTGGGACCACAGGGATGACTCATGAGGCTCTGGTGAAGAAGCCTTGCTTGATTCCCGACAATAAGAGTGCATTTGGCACATTAACTGTCATCTCAACTTCCTGGAGCAACTGAAGAATTATTATTCATTAAAAATGAAGAGATCTCAAAGAGGCACAACAGTGGGGCTGGGTGGGTAACAATGCTGTAAGAGCTAGCCCTAAAGCTAGGCTCAGACACAAACCAGGGCTGCCACTCTGCGCAACTCCAGGGGGCAACATGCACATTGAGGTCTATGAGAACAGTGCCTCCTGGAACTGTGCAATATCCAACCTGCGCAACCACACGCAGCAGCCCCAATCCACATCTCCTTGGCGCAAGATGACTTTTTAAGCTCTATGAGGAATTACTGTAAACAGTTACGCAGGTTTCTAGTGGACTCAAATATTTTATGGGATGTTTATAACAGCTATGTCAGGAGGAAGTTCAACAAACACATTTCACCAAATCAGGAGAAAGGAGTTTTCCCCCAGAATACCTGAACTCTCTCTCTTCTCCAAAGGATGAGCTATACACAGTATGCTGAAACTTTCTTCTTTCTCATTGTAGAAAGTTTCTTCAAAGAGAATGGGCACTGAGAGAAGACAGGCGAAACCAGCTCCTAATTTAATCCTGTTTCCGTGTATAAAGACATCCTGGAACAAGAGAGCCATCACTGCATCCGCGGCCAGCGGTGACCAGTGGCCCCTCTCAGCCTGGCTCCCGATACGGCACATCACCCGACCTGCCCACCTTCACTCCAGTGTGGGGTGCAGGGGCACGGACACTCTTCTATTTTGCTTTTTTGAGACTAAAATGTTTTCTTTCCTCTTTGCTCACCCCAAAGCTGTGGCTACATAGGACCCTGATCCTTTTTAAATGTTGCAGCAGAAAAGCATTAAGCTGCTCCTTAGAGAAGAAGAAAACCTGTACCTTTCGGAAAGGAAAAAGTAAGAAGGCTCTCTTCTCTGAACAAGAGATCAAAATGACCCTGTGCTGCGATGTGGATGGGGCTGGAGGATGCACACTGCAGCCCCTCCATGGCTCACCACTCTCGCCGCGGCTGGGCTGCCCAGGGCAGAGCAGCCCAGTCATCATAAGCCCGACTCCTCTGTTCTCTTTGTGGATTTCGGTACCCTGAAGAGAACAAATAAACTGACAAGTGCTGGCAGCTGTGGTGAGCAGTTCCCTGGCAGGAAAACAGTGGCATGCCTCGTGAGCCACAGGGCTGCTGACACCCTGAGCTGGCATACTGGTAACCCCGTGCCCCGTCCCTCTGCAACTCCCGCACAGTGCCCACAAGCCCCAGGGGCCAGGTCCAAGGGGCCAAGCTGCAGCACCAACCCCAGTGGAAAAGGGTGGTATGGCCCCCTCCCCTGACTGGGAGTAGGCTGGGACCATGGCAAGTCCTAACTGGGAATGGAACCTCCCGCTCTCAGAACCTATCTGCTTCCACTTACACGATAAGAAAATGCGCAGCCCAAAGTTAACATCAAAGATGAGACAGACTGACACCACGTGCCTCCTGACACGATGCGCTGAGAAAGTAAAACATCCTTCTGGGGCATTCCTACCAAAAATGCATGACTGCAATCTAATCACGAGGAAACATCAGAGACCCCGCACAAGGGAGAGGCTACAGAGCAAAACAAAGACGTCAGTGTCGTGAAAGAAAAGACAGACTGAGGAGCTGTTCCAGATCAAAGGAAACGGAGAAGACTAACAACTGAATGCACAGCATGAGTCTGGATCTAAAAAGAAAAAAAAATTGTGTTTTGCTATAAAAGGATATTATGAGTATAATGAGCATAATCTGTATAAGGAGAGTATGTCGGGGAACAGTATTCTATCAATGCTGAATTTTCTGAGTGTGGTCACTGCACTGTAGTTATGTAGAAAATACACACTGTTTGGGAGTAAAGGGACATGGGGTCTGCAACTTATTCTTTCTGAAAAAGGTTCAGAGAAAAGTCATAATAACGTGTGTGTGGGGGTGTGTGCGTGTGTGTGTATGTACTCTCCCTCAGAGAGAGAGAAAGAAAACAAATGTGGCCAAAATGCTAACATAACAGCTGACCAATCTCAGGGAAAGGTATATGCGAGTTCTTTGTACTTTACTGAAACTTTCTGCAGGTCTGAGATTATTTCAAACCAAAAAGTTTTTAAAAAATTAAAAATTCATCCCTGATGTCCACTTTGTGGCCAAGAAACCGGCGAGCTCTCAAGGGCACTGGGATGAAACAGCTTCTCTGACAGGCCCTCGGTGAGGAGGTGCCACAGCAACTCCCTGACTCCCCGGCAGAAGCTCCTGGGCCGAGGGGGACATGCTGGGCCGCCCCTCGCCCTCCGAGGCCACAGCCAGGGCCCTACTCACCACCAGCACCTCCTCCGTCCTCACAGGCAGCGGCCCTCCACCCCTCCCACAGGGCTGCCAGGTGCCAAAGCCGGCACTGAACAGATGTGCGAGGCAAGGAGCAGGGTCCTCTCCCCGCCCCACCCTCTGAGGCAGCGACCCCGGGTGACCCACAGAGACAGGAGTACCTTTCCATTTAAGGTCTGGAAGTGCTCCTCCAATGGCCTCAGGACATAGGACTCAAACTGACACGCAGGCTGAATACTGCTCGACAGGCTTCCCTTGCAGGGCACTAACACCTGGAAAAAACAACGGGGGTGAATACCAGCGAGATGCGTCATTGACAAGTCCAGCAGAACAGAACATATCCAAAGACGCTCCAGCGGAACTGCTGTGGGGACCCACTGGCAGAGAGGACGCCTGGGGCCACTTGCCACAATGACAGCAGTCGAGGCCAGCTGAGTTAATCTGTCATCGTCGTGATGGAAGCCGCGGCTCCCCACACCGGCACAGGGAGGCGGCACCAGTCCTCATCCATCACAGACCTGCAGACGGGCGCGCTTGTTCCCACACCGGCCGGGTCCCCCCACAGCTAACCCCAGGTGCCCCCCTCTATTCTCAACAAGCTCAGAAACGATTCCAGATAAAGAGAGAATCGTTTGGAGAGTACAGAAAAGTGAAACTAAACAGTCACACATAATTCCACCACCTGGATGATAAACACTGCACATGGAAGACAGCTTCCTTGCCATCTTCTTTCTGTTGTTGTTTTGTAAGCCCAGTTGTGATCACAGTTTGTAATACAATCCATAGAAACAGTTTCCTACTGCAGGCTGCCACCCCCACCAGCAACCTCTCCAAGTGCCAGACTCCTCACTGGGGCAGGCTCAATGTGAAACGTGAATTTTGGTCCGACCGTGGCAACCACGCTGACCTGGCACCAGCTTCTCAGCTCAACACACCAAAGGGAAGGAGCTCGACCCTCAACACCGCCTTCTGCCCCGGCAACCAGGCGCAGATCAGTGCTGGGTTCAGGGACTCACGTTTAAGAGGAATCTCTCAGACTCAAGCGTACCTGGATGGAAGAGGACCATGGTGGTGAAGTGCCTCAGAGCCCCATCTCCTACAGCAGCCCAGCACAGAGCAAGCGGCTTTTGCACTATCCCCACTGTACCGACAAGGAAACTGAGGCTCAGGGAGTGAAGTAACCCGTCCAGGGTCACACAGCCAGTGAACTCCTGCCACCTTCCTGACCACTGCCCCGTCCTGCTGCCTCCTGGAGCCAGTGCTGGAAGCACAGCCCCGCACCTGCTGGAGTTTCCTCTGCAAAGACACATGGAACTCCAGAGCCTTCGAGAGCAGCTTCCCCAGGAGCCTCCTCAGGCAGGTTAGACAGCGCAGCACGGCCCCTCCCCCACGGACGGACACGCCGATTCCTCACAGCGCAAAAGGGAGGTGCTTGCTGATGGAAGAACACGTCCCCTTGCCCCTCCTCAAAAAATCAAGACTGAATCAGATCAAGATCCAGATTTAACTCCCAATTTCAGCGACCAGCACAGAGGACCATGGTAAACACAGCACAGGACTGCAACTGGCAAAGCCAGAATGCAGGAAACTCCAGAATAAATGACCTGGATAAGAAAGAAAGAAAATGGGGAAGGCGAAGATGGAATTAAAAAGAAACTCAAGGGCCGGCCCCATGGCTTAGCGGTTAAGTGCACGCGCTCTGCTGCTGGTGGCCCGGGTTCGGATCCTGGGCGCACACGGATGCACCGCTTCTCTGGCCATGCTGAGGCCGCGTCCCACATACAGCAACTAGAAGGATGTGCAACTATGACATACAACTATCTACTGGGGCTTTGGGGGAAAAATAAATAAAATAGTTTAAAAAAGAAACTCAAGACTGTGGTGAAGGTTTCACAAGTCCATACACATGTCAAAATGAATCAGACTTTACACACCCAGTATGCGCAGTTCAGTGTACTTCAACAGCTCAGTAAAGTGGGGAGAAAAAGAGAGAGACAAAAGACCCACCAAGCCAAGGTAATGTGTGGACCTCCTTTAGATCCCGATTTGAACAAACCAACTGTAAAACAAATAAACAAAAAAAATTATGAGACAATTTGGGAAATCTGAATAGTGACTAGATATTTGACAATATTGAAGAATTATTGAGGAATTTTTTAGCTGTGATACTGGCATTGTGCTTACATTTTTAAAAAGAGTACATATCATTTAAAAATACATTCCTAAATATTTACAGATGAAACCATACGACTACCTTACATAATTTTCTGGGATTTGCTTCAAAATAATCCAGTGGCTGAGGGCGGAGGGCAGAAAGGCATAGAAACAAGATGTGACCAGCCACTGAACTGATCACTGTTGAAGCTGGGTGATGGGTGCACGGGGCTCATTACATTACTTTTTCTACCTCTGTATATTTGAAGTTAAACATCATAATTTTAAAATTTTAATGAAAATAAAACTCAAAGAAAGAAAAGGCAGGCCCTCAGGTGTGAGCCTGAAGCAAGAAACTACCTCAAGGCTCCCAGGAGGACTCATGGCAGCAGTGAGCACAGAAGGAGGATCCGGGGAACCTGAGAGTGGCCTCAGGCAGGGAACGCCATGTACAGACCTAGGAGATGTCTAATGCTCAGAGAGGCCACGAGATGGTCCCACTCCAGCTCTATGGACGAAGGAGTCACACAGGCCCATTTGAGGAAAGGCCCCTGAGGGACCAGAAACTTCGGAGAACTTCACTCCAGCTGTGACTACACTCTATTTACCCGTAAACTTACTCCTTCCCTGCCTCCCTACCTAGAATAAAGCATGACCAGCTCCTGCTACCTTGTATCCCCATTACCAAGCACACCACTCAATGACACAGTAGGTGACCAATCAACGTTTGTTGAGTGAAAACAGGGCCCTACAATTTCAGGGATCCCCTCGGTTTTCAGGCAGACAATGCCTGGGGTATTTCACTGCAAGAGGAAGCCAGCGGCTGGCTCTCTGTGGCTCCACCCATCTCCACCAGAGTCCTGCTGAGATGGGTGAGGAAGGTGGCCATGGAGGAGGGGGCGGAGCAGCTAGGAAGCTGCCTGGCAGCTGGAGTCGAGTGCCCTGGGGCTTCTCCAAGAGGGAGCTTCAGACTACGTCTGGAGTAGACATGAGGTTCAACAGCCTATGTGGGGTACACAAAGTTTAGAGTCACCAAGTAAAGCCATAAGCTGGGGACCTACTCATTTCAAAGCTTAACAATAGAACTTTTTATTCTAGTCCTTTTATAAAGAATTTTTTAAATAATGGTAATTAAAGAAAAGACAATAGAATAAAAGCAAGAATCAGCATCAGCGACACCTACTCCAGGGTACCCTCCTGACTCCTCCCCAGGCTGGGTTAGACATTCCATGTGAGCCTGTGACGACTGCTTTCCTGACACTCATTCCTCTGTCCTGCAAAGAGCCTGTCTCTGGAACTCCCTGAAGGCATGCCGTGTTCCCCACTCATCCATGTAAGCCTGGAACCCAGCACAGTGCCTGGCACACAGGAGATGCTCAACCAATGTCTGTTGGACGAATCTACACTAAACGAATCCTGAGAACTGGAATATAGCCCCCAGTGCCCTTAGCTCGGCTGTCTAGGTATTTTACTTGAAAGTCAGTTCCTTGAACTTTGAAGACATGCTGTTAGCTTTCCAGGCTAGCCCTCAAAAGCTTGCATACTCCATAATTAAAGGACCACAAATTTAATCTCCCCCTGGGAAACCTGGAGGACTCTCCCCCCAACGCCCCACAGACAAGAGCCCCAGGGATGCGGTAGGCCTCCCTGCCTGCTCTGAAGAAGCCGCAGTGCATTATTAGGCAGATGGTTGTAAGAACAGGGGCGACCATTAGAAGCAGCATGTGGGCATCATGGGCCTCTGTGATTGGAATCTAGGGAACATGGGGAAAAGAGCTTCTGCTGTCCAGGCAGAGAGCAGGCGACGGCAGGAGGCACCTGCCTGGACGTGGAGGCATCCCTATCTAAGGAAGGCCTGGGAAGGAAGTCAGACTTGAGGAGGGGCTGGGGCGTCGGGGGGAAGCAGTCAAGCTGCACCCTCAGCCGCCACGCACACCGTCACGTGAGGATGAGGCGGCCCGGGACCTTGGCCTGTAGGGAGAGATGTGAGAGGCAGTTAACCCTGGGGGACACGCATGTTTAAAAGTGGTGATTTCACATTTTTTAGAACCCAATAAAGGACTCTGATCCCCAGGGCAGATTCAAGAGTGGCCAACCTTGGACCAATGCCCAAGACTCATGGAAAGAAATGTGGCATTTACCTGCTGAGGCCATGTGGATCCCTCACGGGTGGCAGAAACGATAAGTGCTCTTCTGGGGGTGACTAGAATATTCCACTTTATCATTCAGCCAATAGACATGGATGGAGCACCACTATGGATTAGACAGGGAGGAGCCGGTGCTCCTGTCACACGGCCAACAGGGAACAGGAGGTAGCCATCAACATCTGAGCGGGCTGAGCAGACAGGAGACCTAGCTCCTTCTCACTGCTGACTCCTGCAGAGAAGCTGGCCTCACTGATTCAGAGTCCACTGAACGAGGCCGAGCAAGGCCAGAAACTCAGGGCTGACAAACACGGGCCCCAAGCAGCCCCTGTGGCTCCCATGGATCTCAGGAGCAGCTGAGTAAGAGGCCTAGCACACCAGCGGGAACTCGGGACACACAGTTTAAGAAGAATCTCCCATTCCTCAGTGGACCTGAAAATAAGGTGACCACGATGCTACAGTTCTTATTGCAAGTTCCCCTTCTGCTGAAGTGAGCTCGAGGGGAACTCCACTACTCGCAGCTGGAAAAGCACCTACTAGGTGACAGGAACCATGTGAAGTGCTGACAACACAGTGGTGAGTAAGCCAGAAAGGCCTCACACAGCTCCCTGAAAAATAACAGCATTCCACAGCGCGGCATTTTTAAAAAGCAAGAGAAAGTGACATACGATGATACGCTCTTACCTAGACAGCATTCAAAAAACATCAGAGAACAAAGATGGGAAGGAACTAGTTTCCAGATCAGGTCAGGCCATCCCAGTGAACAGGACTGCTTTGCATCCTGTTCTTTTTCTCTGTGACACTTACCACAACTATGATTAGTACACACGCGCCCAGAGTACGCCCATGTCTCCCACTAGAATGTCAGCTTCGTTAGGGTAAAGACGGTGATGCGTATTCACATGTCGTGCTGAGTCCCCAGCTTCAGACACAGTGCCCTGCCTAGAGCCGCATTTAACAACCAGTGTGAAATGAATCAGTGACCATGAACATCTTTGGTGAGCTTTATGAGATTTTTATTTTCTTCTTTGGAAACAACTGTATTCTCTGATTTTTTTATAATGAACTTTATAACTTCCAAAATCCAAAGTAAAAAATTCTGGGAGAAATATACGAATCACAAAACCAATCACAAAAATGGGAAGGGACTTTAAGAAATCAGGCTTCTGAAGGCAGAGGGAGGGACTGAATAAGGTGAAAGTCAATTCCACTTTTCCACAGGCAGCTGAGAACCTGAAGTCAACCTGAACTGAGCTGACTTCTCCTTTGGTTCAAATCCTCAGTCACCTGACATGCCTGAGTACAGTCACACCACACGGCAAGAAAAGCAGGGACACAGTACGAGAAGACAAGAGGACAACATACAAAAAGAAGACAGGAGACTCCTCAAGCAGAGGCCACAGACAGACGGCACAGAGGTGCCTAGCACACTGCGTCCCGCCATGTTGTGCAATCAGATGCCCGCCAATTTCACCAACCTGAGAACTGGGAAGACCCACCACTCGGGGCCTGCCCTCCCTCCAGGCAGCAGATGCCCCACCAGTGGGCCAGGATTTCTCTCGCATGCTTCTCTCATTCCTGTTCCCTGGCTGCCCCCGTGGGCTTCTCAGGTTGTGGCCTCTATCACAAAAGTTCTTTCAGCACAGTTCCTTCCCTTTAGGAAATGCCTTTGAAAGCGACATGCAAATGCCTTCACACATTCCCTTATTCTATGGGAGTGAGCACCCACCCCACAGAAGAGGACTCGTGAGGCCCTGAGGAGGAAGATGATTTCTGCCTCGAGAAGTCCTCAGGATCAACATGGAAGCAAGAGAAACAGGTGAATACCGTGAGACCAGTGTCAACAGGGGCAGAGTTCAGAGAATGGATTACACGCTGGGCTGGTGCAGTCACAGGAGGCTTCCAGGAGGAAGCAGCTCATGGCGGTCCCTCTCTGCTCGTTCACATAAGGAGCATGGTCTGGGGCTTGTTACACTGAAGAGGTTTGACACTGACTCCCTCTAAACTTCCCTGAAGTCTACCATATTTCTGGCCTCGTCAGCACTGCTCGGTCCACACCTAACAAAGGAGGACAACCCTCAGGATGGATGCACTTACAATGCCATGGATTTGGGCCACCTTGTTGCACAAGTCAGGACGCCACTTCTGAAGAGCCAGATAGAAAGGGTTTTTCAGGAGATCTTCATCATACAGAGCCATATGGACTTCAGATGGGGCAGAGCGAGTCTCCTGGGACAGGGGAGGAAAAGGCAGTAAACAATCACTTTCACATTTATATAACACATAAAAGTCTTGATCTGGCAATTTCTAAAAAGCATCCCTAATGTGTATTATTCTACTCTACAGACTTAACACTCCATCAGGAAATATCAAAGATAACCCCCTAATTCCAAAATGACCTTTTTCTGATTAAATGTACAAATTACGTTCAGAAAATCTTGTTAAACCCCAAGTCATCGCAAAAATAAAAATGGCTACATTTAGAACAACCTACATGACCAAAATTATGACATTTTAAAGATATGCATATATTTTTAACAAAATACTTTAAGCATACAGAAAAGTACAGAGTAATTATGCAAACCTACCACCCAGAATTACCAAATCTTAACAGTTTGCCATATTTGCCTCAGCTTTTCTTTAGGAAATAAAGTAGAGTAGACTGGAATCCCCCATGTGCCCCTCTCTGATCCCACCCTCTCCTCCCCTTGCAGGGGCAACCACTATCTGCAAGTTGCTGTGTATCCATCTTGCTCACGTTTCTATTCCTTTAATACTTATGTATTCATAAATAATATAAAATGCTGATTTATGGGCATCAAAATTTACATAAATGGTATCACAATATAAGTATTCCAGAACATACCCTTTTCAGTCAACATCATGTTTTCAAGTTTTATCCATACTGATCTACACAGCTCTCCTTAATTCACTAACTTCTGTGGTTATAGTATACTAGGTGAACATGACACAATTCATTCATCTAATATCTTATATTTCAGTTGCTCCCACATTTTCAGTATTACAAACAATGCTGGAATGAACACTCCTATCCCCTTAAGTGTTCCTTGAGCACATATCTAGGGATGTCCCTAGGAGAGGCACTGCGGAGCATCCACCTACACCATCACCAGATATTGACAACGCTGGACCGCTCTCTACCTCCATGAAAAGTGCATGAGCATTCCCCTTCCTCACATCACATCCTAGCCAACACTTCTTAGCATTGTCAGATTATCTCATTTCTGCCAGTCTGTGAGTATAAAATAGTATTTTGCCATCTTTAATTTTCATTTCTCTAACAAAATTAAACATCATTTCATTATGTTCATAAATTACCTTATCACCATGTTTGCCCACTTTCCTAATGGGTTGTTGGCCTTTTTCTTATGATTTAGAGTTCTTTACATATATGGATACTAAAAGATGTTTCAAATATCTTCTCCCAATCTGTGATTTGTGTTTTCATTTTTTCAAATGGCTATTTTCAGAAATAGAAGTGTTTGATTTTAACATAATTGAACTTGTTAATCTTTGCCTTCATTGTGAGTGTTTTTTGGATCTTAAGAAATCCTATTATCTGGCATGCCCCTTTGCAAAGTGACTTCACCATTCCCCCATCAGAATTCACCACCCCTTGAATCCGAGCCAGCCCTGTGATTTGCTTTAACCAATCAACAGAGAGAACTGACATTCTGTGATTTCTGCATCTCAGCCCCAAGGAGCCTTGTAGATCTCACACTCATTCTCTTGAGACTGGCACCCTGAGACCACCATGCTGTGAGGAAGCCCATGGGATGAAAGATTATGGGGAGAGAGAGGCCCAGACGGTCCAGCAAGCACAGCCAATCCACCCCCCAGCTGAACGCAGCCACGTGAGTGAGTCCAGGTGGCACCAGCAGAAGAGCCACCCTGCCAGCCCACACAATAGTAGGACATAATAAACTCTGGCAGTTTTAAGCCACTAAGATTTGGGCTGGTTTGTTGCACAGCAAAGGTGGCTACCTAAAACCACATCCTTTCCAACTCCAAGGCCATAAAAATACTCCCTAAAATCTTTAAGAATCTTAAAGTTTTTCATTTTTAGTCTTCAATTCATCTTTATTTTTATATATATGATAAATTGAGCATTTAATTTAACTTTTTTCCATATGGTAAGCTGTCTTAGCCTTTTCCGGCTGCTATAACAAAATACCATAGACTGGGTGACTTAAACAACACATATTTATTTCTCACAATTCTGGAGGTGGGGAAGTCCAAGATCAAGATGCCAGCAGATTTGGTTCTGAGTGAGGGCCCACTTCCTGGATTGCAGACGGCCGCCTTCTCACTGTATCCTCACATGGTGGAAAGAGAGTTCTCCTATCTCTTCCTCTTTTTATGAAGGCATTAATTCCATCACGAGGGCCCTACCCTTATGATCTAATCTAACTCCAATTAGATCCCAAAGCCCCACCTCCAAATATCATTACACTAAGGATTAGAGCTTCAACATATGAATTTTAGGGGGGCCACAAACATTCAGTCCATAGCATAAGCCAATCGTCCCATCATCATTTGTTGAACAGTCTACCCCTTTCACACTGGCTGATAATGCTACCTTCATCATACTCCAAGTTTCCATACATTTAGCCTGTTTTTGGGCTCTACTCTCTTTCAATGGTCTAGACCAGCACCATCCAACAGATATATTACATAATTACATATGTAATTTTAAATTTTCTAGTAGCCACATGAAAAAAGAAACAGGTGAAATTAATTTTAATATTTTATTCATCCTAATATATCCAAAATATTCTATTTTCAACATGTGATCAATATTTTAAAATTATTAATGACATATTTTACATTCTTTTTTACTCCTACTAAGCCTTCAAAATCTTGTGTTTATTTTACATCTACAGTACTTCTCAATTCATATTAGCTACATTTCAAGTGCTTAGTAGCCACATGTGACTAGTGGCTATTATATTAGACAGAGCAGGGCTAGACCACATTATTTTGCATGACTACAGTTTCATAATAAGCCTTGATATCTCATAGAAAAAGGCCTCCTCCCTTGTTCTCCTAAATTGTCTGGTTATTCCTAATTCTTTACAATATCATATGAATTAGAGTCAGCTTATTGATTCCATGAAAAATCCTGTTGGGATTTTTATTGAAACTGCACTAATTTTATGGACTGGAGAGTCAACGTCTTTATAATAATGAATCTTATCCATGAATACGGTATGTCTTTCTATGTATGTCTTCTTCTATGTCCTCCAATTAAATTTTCGCCATCAAGATCATAGATCATATATAACTTTTTTTGTGTGTATGTGAGGAAGATCAGCCCTGTGCTAACATCTGCCAATCCTCCTCTTTTTTTGCTGAGGAAGATTGGCCCTGGGCTAACATCCGTGCCCATCTTTCTCCACTTTATATGGGACGCCGCCACAGCATGGCTTAACAAGTGGTGCATCGGTGCGCGCCCGGGATCCGAACGGGGGAACCCCAGGCCGCCGCAGCAGAGCGCGGGCACTTAACCGCTTGCACCACCAGGCTGGCCCCCGTATATAACTTTTATTAGATATTATTTATACATTCTGTATAGACTTGCTCCTGTTGTGAATGGGGCCTCCATTGCCCCTGGTCTGCTCCCCTTATCTCACATCAGTGTGGTTTTATTGAGTTATGACTCACTAAAGGCTCAGATAGCATTTTTTAGCAATAAAGTATTATTTTATTAAGGTAGGTACATTGTTTTTTTTAGAGATAATGCTACTGCACGCTTAACAGACTACAGTATAGTATAAACATAACTTTTATATGCATTAGAAAACCAAAAAATTCGTGAGACTTGCTTTATTGGGATATTCGCTTTATTGTGGTGGTTTGGAACTGAATCCGCAATATCTCTGAGGTATGCCTGTATGAAAAATGGGCACAGGAAAGGAATCAGAGTTCTAGCCATGTCATTCCAGCCCTCTGAGCCTCCATCTCAGTTTGTACAATTGAGAATATGAATACCTGTCTTGCAGGATTCCCATCTACATGCCACCTTCGCTATTTTTGCCATACTGCATACCAATGTACCACCACTTACTGCTGGCCCACACGGTGCCTTTGTGGGAAATGGAAAAAGGCACTCCATCTTCCCAGTCCCGCCGTTCTACGCCAGGGCACATGGCTTGGTAAGCAGCTCACAGGCCGTATCAGCCCCAGTTTGCCAGCACCTCCCCTCCCCTGGGTAGGGCACCTGTGCAATGAATAACCTGCACAACTGTACACAATGGCTTCACTGTTAGTGTCTGACCTTTTACTTTAAACACGTACTTCCTTTGAAAATTTACTTTAAAAAGAACCCTATTACTACTTTATTTTTTTTCTTTTTATTTATTTATTTATTTATTTATTTGTGAGGAGATCGGCCCTGAGCTAACATCTGCCAATCCTCCTCTTTTTGCTGAGGAAGACTGGCCCTGGGCTAACATCCTTGCCCATCCTCCTCCACTTTATATGGGACGCCGCCACAGCATGGCTTGCCAAGCACTGCGTCGGTTCGCGCCCAGGATCCGAACTGGCGAATCCTGGGCCGCCGCAGGGCAGCGTGCGCACTTAAGCGCTTGCGCCACTGGGCCGGCCCCTCTATTACTACTTTAAATGGAAAAACAGTATCACTTCCCATAAAGAGAAGATGACCTTAAAATTAAAAATTATAAAAACAACTGATATTACTTAAAACCTTGCTGGATACCATTGCCTGCCAAAGGTTCTGAGCTTGAGCCTGAGGCCTCTTCTCTTTATTAAGAAGAGAAAATTAGCAACTATTAAAGAGCATCAAGTAAACTTATCCTTGACACAATCAGATGAATGAAATATGAGTGAAAAACTGAATTACTTTTTCACTACGTAACAATATTCCAAAATGCCTCCTTGGGAAAACACCAGAACAGTACGCATAAGTGCATTATGAATTCTATCCCTTATGGTTAATGATAAAAACAGCCACCATTCGAGAGCATCCTTGGTCCAGGCACTGTGATAACTTCTATACATCCTCATCTCATTTTATTGCTCATGATAACTATAGGTAACTAACTACAACTAGTGCTCACAATAAGTAGAGGTATCATTAGCCCTATGTCACAGATGAAGAAACTGAGGTTCAGCTGGCCAACTTGAGGTTACACAGATGTCAGAATTTATTCTAACACCCATCCCTTTAACCACTACACCCATCATGTAAAATAAACATGCCTGGATCAGGGGTTATTGCATGAGCCACAGATGCACAGATTCTATACTTCATTTCCCCCAAAGGAAAAGTCCCCCTGACAGACACCCACACAGAATTCCCTCAGTCTGGCCTGGCCAGAGCTGTCTTGGCTGCAGGCCTTCCTGGGGACCGCCTGAAGGAAGCCCCTGCAAATCCTCTTAGGGAAAAGATCCTAGCCTGAAAATGGCTACATATAATCCCTTCCTGGACCCCAGAGACAGCTCTGCAACAATTTAGGTATTTGAACTGTTGAATTCAATGATTACTGGAGCCCAGATAATCCTTTTATGAGTCCCTACCAGAACAACTGGATAATGTAATTTTGCCAGAACAGAGTCACAAGAAAACAAAATTCTTCCTGGTTCCTGATATAGCTGGTTCTACACGGCAGAGCGCAAAAGTAAAGATGCCTGGGACAAAAACCACATGAGAAACAGGATGAGACACGGTCAGACTAAAGCTAGGAAGGGACATTCCTTCTGCTCCTCAGGCAAGATGCTGGCAGAGCACCAACACCTCTGCCCCTAAGATGGAGGTGACAAGGGCAGGCGTTGATGGAGGAACTAACAACCTAGCTGGGAGGCAAGGAATGTGCACCGGAAGAGTCAAACACACCCAGAACAGTGCTGGGAGAGGTAAGGACCAGACAGAGACGGGAGCTGCAGGGAAGGGGGCGGGCGTGGTGAGGGGGCAAACATCCCCCGCAGGGACCAGAGCAGGGCCACAGGTTCAGGAGGCAGGAACAGGTTCCTGTGGACAGAGAAAACCTACAGGTAAACTTTTTTGACAGGATGAGAAGATGAGTCCAGGGAAATAATAAGAATCCAAACAGAGAGGGGCAGCAAGTAAAGGAAAGCCCTTGAATGCCACATCAAAACACTCCGTTCAGATGAGTGAACTGTGTCAACACAAGCCTCTCAGCAAGCACTGCTGGTGAATGCTTGCTGTTTTTCAGTCCCAAGTCATCTGCTTTCTCTTGCACATGAGTCCTCCTGCTTGCCAATCACAGAACCCTCTGTCCAGGAGCAGGGCTTCCAAGAGCTCTGTCCACCACTGTTCTCAACCTTTCTGTCCGGTGTTAAAAATATGTAACGATCGCATACAATCTGGTGCTTAATACCAGAGTTGACTTCTCATACAGGGGTACATGCTTAAAAATAATTTAACACCCTGACAAGTTTACTTACAAGAATTAAGTTTTATATTTGAAAATAAGATGCAAAGTAAACTGACTTTTCCTTGTAAAAATGGAAAGATGAGTGAATCCTCTAATAAAATTCCTTAAAAAAGAAAAAAAATTCCACCCCTACCTAAGCTCAAATGACGGGATGATTTACAGAAAATCCAGTGAAGCTAGTGAGAGATACCAAATAGCCCTGAACATGAGCTATCTGAGCTTACTCTACGAACAGGAGAGCCAGGCGAGGCCTCAAACCAGTATCGGGCACTTCAGGAGGCGCTGTGCACACTCGTGGTTTTGTGGTCTTCAACCGTCCTGCCAGCCAGGATGAGTCTGAGTGGTCAGCGACCATCTGGTGACAGCGTGCAGCCTGGCTCAGCAGAACCCTGCACAGGAAAGTCTGCACCTCCCAGAGATGCGCTCCCTGCTGAAATCTCACTGCTCTGGCTGCTCCCCCGTTCCAGGGCCCTGACCAAAGACCCAGACCAGGTGTACTTTCCAACTGATGAGCGATATTCTCCAGTTGATTTAATTTCTGGTTCAGAAGGAAAAAGCAAAAGAGAAAACTTTCTATTCATCTATGTTTAATACCAAACGGAAGCAATTTGATGATGTAATGTAGGGTATTACAGTCACTGGTGTCCTTCTGGCCTGTAACGTCTATGGATCCTGTCCACATTTTTCTCAGAGCTCTTCTTCAAAGCACCCAGACTGCGCCTGGCTGCCCGGCTCACTGTACATATGCAGTAACTGTGTGTCTACTTGAACAAAAGGATATTGGGGTCTCAGAGGAAGCTCAAGTTCCCAGGGAAGGATCATCTCTCACAGGAGCTGCAAATCCACTGCCCATATCTAGGGGAGGGTGAGGGGCTGGCCCCAGGCAGCCATGCAGGCACTGGCAGAAAGCCAGAAACAGAGTTGGCTAAACACAGTGACAGCTGGAATGTGGAGGGTCACAGAGGGAAAGGAGGCCTCTGGGCTGGAAGAGGGGTGTGACCACCAAGGGAGTAGGAAAGTGTGGAGGAGCACAGCTGTCCCTCAGAATGCCACTTCGTTGCCCTGCTCCTGGAGCTGCAGGTAGAGCCACCAGCACCCATCTCCCTGTCAGCATCTTGGGCAGAAGGGCAGGAGCTCCAAGGGCCACTTCTCAGTGTCTCTCAGATGTGGAAGCAACTTCAGGACAAATCATGTCCGGATTCCTCAAGTCTGAATCCTTTCTAGGTCTGATACCTACCATCACATGGTCACACTCCTCTGCTCCTCTAGGAGAGGATGAAGTCAATGGACACCAAGCTATCCTGGCAACTCATAAACAGAGAGGGAGCCCCGTCACAAACACCAATGGCGCCCAGACACGTGAACAAGGACCCAGCAGCTGCCCTCATGAGGGCAACACAGTCCCAGAGTCACAAAGAGGCACGATCAAGACCTTGACCCCAGGCCCTATGCAGACACTACTGCTCGCTCCTCCAGCAATGCTGGGAGGCAGGACTATTTCAACTGACAAGCCAAGGTGGGGAGAGCTCACCCCAGGTGTCTACCCAACTTCAGAGTCCCAACTGCTTTCCTGCCACTAGGGCTCTTCAGAAGTGTCTGTTCCTGCTCTGGTCACACACTTCCTCCACCGAGGCCTACCAGCTCTGCCTCCTGGATCTCACACAACAAAGTGATCCTTCCAACTCTGAGGTCTGTGCAGGATTCTTGCACCACCTCCCCTCCACTCTCTACTAGAGGAACTCTCATCTTCTCTACTTGGCATGGCGCACCTCTCACTTCTGGTCTCCCTCTGCTGTCCACAAAGCTCCCCAAAGAGATGGGTTCTCCCTGCTTCTACACATTTTATCCTGAAAACTACTCTTCCCCTGTCAAGGCCCCCATTCGGCCGGTGGGTGGCTGAGACCCTTCACCGAAGAGAATGGCCCAAGGCCCGGTGCCCCCAAGCGGTGGCGACAACCGGCCGCCTAAAGGACGCGCCTATGGGCAGTCCGTTTTCAACGAAAAGAACCGAAAAGACCCAGAGTGCAGAACATCTCCTGGTGCTTAGGAGTTTTCCTGGAGTAATCTTTACCCAGCAGGACCAGGAGACCCCGCCCCGCGAGAGGCAGGCAGGCAGGCGGCGATTCCCTCGCCCCTCTCCCGCACCTTCATCACCCCTGGGGACCATAAAAGACGACCTGAGGCGCCGGACCCCCACCCACAGCCTCCCTTACACCCGCCGGGCCAGGCCGCCCGCAAACCACAGAGGCCACTGAGGGCATAGCGACAGCCCCGCCCACTGCCCCCAAGTCTCAGCTCCCGGGACCCCGGACCCGCAGACCCGTCCTGGAGCCGCGGGGGTCAGAGGGTGCATTCTTCCCCACCCCAACCCCAACGGACACGAGGGGCAGAGCGAGCCCGGCGGCGGACCGGGCTCGGGAGAGCGCGGGCAGGGCAGTCCCCCCGGCGAGGGGCAGGGGTCTTGGAGGCCTCCCGCCCAGCCTGGGGCACCGGCCGCGGAGAGGAAGGAGCCCCTCCCCCTACCCCCTCCGGGGCCCCGCCCGGCCTCCAGGCCCCGAGGCGCAGCCGTCCCGAGGGAAGGGCGGCACAGGAGCAGACAGGAGAAAGGACACTTACTTAAAAGGCTACATAGTTTCACTCCCTGCCCTTCCCGGACGGCCGGTGACACGGGCTCGGACCTCAGGGCCCATGACCTCAGCGCGGCGGCTTAGCTCCACCGCCCACCGCCTTACTCCACCGTCGGGCGGAGCCGCGCCTCAGGGCCCTCGGTCAGCCCAATGAGCGGCCGTCCTTACCCAGAGTGACGTGTGCGCAGAACAATCATTGAGCCCAGTCAGCCGAGGGTGGGGCTCAGGCGGTGCACCGCGCTTCCTACTCAGGGTGGACCAGCCCAGAGCCGCCGACTGCGCATGCCCGTGACGGGAGAAGGCGGGGCCGAGGGCAGATCTGACACTAGGGGTGGGGTCCGAGCTCCCTCGCTGGCAAGTGGGCTGGACCCGGATGGGGAGACCCGGGAGCCGTCCGGCCCCGCGGATCGCCCTTTATTGCTCACTTTAGAGGACGGAGGTGCCCAGTCCTATGAAGCACACCACTCCTGTCGCTGGCAGGGTCTGGGAGTCAGGGTCCCTGGGTTCTACCCCTCACTCGCACGGACGTTGCGTGACCTAGGCACCCTTTTTTTACCTGGGCCTCAGTTTCCCCATCCATAAAATAGGGGAGGGCTGGATCTGCCAAGCGCTAGTATTCCAGAACTTACAGAACTTACGTGGGGTGCGGAAGAGGGGGAGAAGGGGACCTACACGTGACCTCCCCTCGCGGGGCCCCGCCTATCCCTGGTCCAGGGGATGGAAGCGCCCAGCGAGGACGGGCGGGGGTGGGCGGATCCTAAGAAACCCGACCCGGCCGCCCTTGGCAGCGGCTAAGGCTGAGCGCAGCTCGGCGGCCGGCTAGCCCTGGCGTCGGCACCAGAGGAGGATGGGGACCGCAAACTGGGCTTCGCAGGGGGCCACCGTGGAGGCGAGCGCCGTGCAGAGACTCGGCGTGTGACTCAGAGCGCATCTGGGAGGATGGACGAGGGGACGGGAGGCAGCTAACGGAGCTTCCTCTCTGCTCCCGGTCTGCGGAGGCGCACGTCGCGGGTCCCGAGCGGGCCCCGTCGACAGCAGCGGCAGCGCTGAGCTAGTCTCGGGCCATGAGGAGCGCTCGGACCGCCCAGCCCGGGGCTGTCGTCGGGTCTGGCCGCGCCCTGCCGCGCTGAGGGCGTGAGGCCGAGAGGGGCGCGGGAGGCCGCGCTGCGCCGGAGCGCACCGCCATGGCGAGGGAGGAGTGCAAGGCGCTGCTGGACGCGCTCAACAAGGCGACAGCTTGCTACCACCACCTGGTGCTGACCGTCGGCAGCTCGGCGGATTCGCAGAACCTGCGGGAGGAGCTGCAGGAGACGCGCCAGAAGGCGCAGGAGCTGGCAGTGACCACCCGCGCCCGGCTGACGGCCGCGCTGCGCGACCGGGGCTTGGACGCCGAGGAGCGCGCCGAGTTCGAGCGCCTCTGGGTGGCCTTCTCCGGCTGCCTGGACCTGCTGGAAGCCGACATGCGGCGTGCGCTGGCGCTGGGCACCGCGTTCACGCTGCACGCGCCGCGGCGGCCGCTCGTGCACACGGGGGTGACCGGTGGTGCGGAGAGCATAGCTGCGCGCGCCCTGAGCGTCCGCAGGCTGCGGCACGAGGCGGAGCGAGACTTCGACGTGAACGACCTGCACGAGCTGGAGCGGGAGATCCTTCAGGTGGGCGAGATGATCCACGACATGGAGATGAAGGTCAACGTGCCCCGCTGGACAGTGCAGGCCCGGCTGGCAGCGGGCGCCGAGCTTCTATCCAGCGCCGGCGTCTCTTCGGCGGGCGGCGTGTCCATAGAAGAGCGCACGAGGCCCTGCGACCTGAGCAAGGCTCTGGCCGCCACCGTCTTCAGCGCCGTGCTGCTGGTGGCTGTGGCACTAGCCGTGTGCGTGGTGAAGCTGAGCTGACCCGACACCCGACGCCTCCCCGCCGCCACAGCGTCCTCCCCAGGGGTAGCCCTCCGGGAAAGACGGCAACCCGGATGGAAATGGGATCTGGCATGTTTAAGGGAAGCGGTTCTAAAACCCTGTGTATGTACGTCTCCACGCGTATTTCAAGCACACATCTCCTTGGGCAGAACATGGTTTCCTCTTGCTGGCCAGGGAAGTGTTAATTTTGTGCGGGCCGCCGGCGTATTGCCACTAATATATGCAGGAGCTTTATCCCCTATTAATAGAAAACCGGCCACAGTGACCCCAGATTCCTCCGAGTTAATGCGTTACCGCATGTGCTGCTGGGGCGTGTTTACACTGAGTCTGAGTTTGGGGCCCCCACCCCTGCCGGCGATACCCACTCTCCGGGTGGGCACTTTGGAAAATGGGGTGAGGTCAAATGAACTGCGGAAAAGGGGGCTGTTTTGCTGTGTGTAGGTGGTGGTTTTGTTTCTTACACAAGAAACAAATTGCAGTAAGATGTAAGCAGTTTTTATTACCTTAATCCTTTGGGGCCTAAGTTTAGGAGGGTGTGCAAATAGCAGTTTATCGAAGTGCTTTCTCTATGGCTCACGATTGCGCTTTTTGGCGGAATTTATCCATTAGTCACCAAAAGCAGCTAGAAGAGGTTTGGGGTCGTGATCTCCCGCGCAGGGTCTGACTCTACTTAGGAAACCAGAGAAGGGCTGTTGAACCTGCCCTCAGGGGCTGGGATCCACTGCACACTCTTGCCCATGGAAAAGGAGCGGGGCAAGCTTTGGGAAGAGCTACCTGGCGTTTAACAGGCACTGTCTCCTTCGCTGGGGCTTATTTTTGTTCCAGAACTAGAGCAGTTGTTGATCCTCCTTTGGGGGGGGCGGGGCTGGGGAATCCTCTTTGGAGTCCTTAATCCTATCTATCCCTTGGAATTTGCCTACTGGCCAGTAGGAGATCTAGCTGTGGAGGGAGCTTCACAGCTCCCTGACCCCGACACTGCTCCCTGAGACGGTAAAGTCGCATCAGTGGCGCACAGAGGTTTTGAGCCAATTAGCCCTGAGACTGGGTTAGAATGTAACAGCTTTAACTTGGAATTTAAGAAGCTTTTTACAAAAATCATTTGGAAGAAAAATCACATAACCACATTGTGGACTATCAAAGCTGGTTTTTTATAAAGGACGTTTGGTCACAAATTCATACTTGCCAATGAGTCAAACATAGCGGTCTTTACTTTATATACTTAGGTTGCTAAATATACATCTGCATCTATTTTTAAAATCCATCTTCTTGAAGACAGGAGGTCATGGCATAAGCTACTGTAACCACAAGTGTAGATGACAGAAGTTAAGTGGCCCCTGCTTCTTTTGGTCACTAAATAAGGAAATGTGGATCCCAGGCTGGAATTTACCTGAGAGGAGCCACCACTTCCCATGTGTAGTCCAGAGAGAGCATTGTTGGGGAAGTAAGGCTGAGAAAACAGAGGCATTTAACTCTAAAGATAATCTGAAACAAAACCCAGAGACTGGTTTGATTAAAAACTGACAAGGATTTTTTGTTTTTCTTTTTTACCCCAGAAGTGAGAAGGGGGACCAGGAGGAGGGAACTGGCAATTTTTCACAAGGGCAGGTTGGAGAGCCAAGGGGCAGAGAAAAACAGCAGCAGGAGTGCTCTCTGGGCACCTGGTCCTAAGGGCCCCCTCCCAGCCTAGCCGGCTCCACTCCCCCTCAGCACAGAGACTCTAGTACCTTGATAGAGAAAACATGGGATCTGTTTGTGTGTGTCTGTGATAATGGTGTTAAAAGACCCACAAGGTCTTAAGCCAATCAAAAGTTTTACAACAATAACTAATAAAAAGAACTCCGTCTGCCTCATCTAGTCTGGGTGAATCTGAATAGGGGCCATGTCAAATTCTTTTGCACCTGCATGCCCAGGGTACTTTCAGAGATGACACAGAAAGTTTTCTAACTCCTTTCTTCCTCCTCCCACACACACCACAACATGGAATCTCTGCCACCTTCCCCAAAGTCTCATCTCTCAGGCATGAGGAGGCTGGGGCATATTGTGACCCAGTGTTGGAAAATATCCCTAAAAAACAAGCCCTAAATATAATCTTCTGTTTTTAAGACTGTGACTCTGTTCTTAACAAGGTGTTTTGGTTCATGAAAAAAAGAATTGTTCAGCAGAACCTATTCAAGAAACAACCCATCAGACGTTGTGTAATCCCTAGAGAGCAACGGACAAATTGCTTTGTTGTCACTCTTTCCACCCACTTGGAAAATCCTTGAGTATTTACTTACATGTGCAATCAGATGTGTACCTGCTTCTAAGAGTCCTCTGCTCACTGAAATTAGTGATAAAATGTTGCAAAAAAAAAAAGCTGAATTACAATAAACATATTTATCCCGTGGACCTGTTAACCTAAACAACTCTTTGACCTTGAAAATTTTAAGTATTCATAATATTTGTCATTATTTGGAGTTATAACGTTGCCTAGTAGAACTTTTGCTATATGATGCAAGCAAAATCACTTTCTGCTTGAGCAATAGGATGCTGTCTGTCTCCCTACTCTCATTTCTACATGTAATTCAAGAGATCACTTTCTGACTGAAGCCTGATTCAATTTAAATGTTTGATATTAAAGTCATTAATTTTCTAAAAACATTTGGTATGATCTTATACTATGATACAAGTGATAGAAAAAAACCCCAAAAATTCAAAATGTTTAGTATAGGTTATATATGATGAGGTCAATGTCAAAGTCTTTGGTAGAGAATGCCTACTTTCCCAAATTAAAGGTACAAGTAAAAGGATAGATCTTTACTTCCGAAGTTAAATGCTATAAATCTCTTGTAAAGTTAAATATCTGAAAAGAGAAAACATTCCTGGCTTCTCTTTTGGGAAAACAGTACTGCTTTATCTGATCCGAAGAAGACAAGAACTTGGAATGTCAAGGCACTTATCTTGGGAACTTTGAACTGTTGGCTATTAAAAAAAAAAAAAAAAACTAGTAATGTTTGTAGGAGAAAAATGATGCCTGGCAAACTCTTTTTTATGTGCTCTAAGAACTGCTTTTCAATGCCTAAAGGGAAAATATTTTTGGTAAATAAAATTAGAGCATAAACCTCATGATTTACCTAAGGTTGACAGTAAGCTGCATGAGATATGTGTGATGTTGAATGACTGAAAAGTAGTTTTGGTTAAAGAGAGTTTTGGTTCGCATGAAGACTCTGATAACGCTGCATTTTCCTTTTCAATGTGCACATTGATACATTTTTAGGTACTTGGTTGCTTTTCAGAATGGAGTTCTCTGTTCTGTACATGCTTGTTAAGAGTTTGAGCCCCAAAGTATGAGCCTATATGTCAGCCTGAGAAATGAAGGGCTGTGGGACTCGCCTCTGCATTCCTTTGGGGAGTGCCTCCTCCCTCAAGGCTGGACCAGCTGCAATGGGCAGGGGCTCTGCCTCTTTCTCCAAGTACCTCAGACAAGTCACTGACCTCCCTGTGCCTCGCTTCCTTCATTCGTGAAATGGGGGGGGCCTGACTGATTAGCTCAAAGGTCCCTTCCAGAGCTTAAAACGTTTAACGGAATGCAATTAAACAAGAAAGAGTTATTTTGTGTGTTTGGATTTTTTGGTTGTTATTGTTGGATTTGGTGCATATTGAAATGGAATCTTACAGTTTGATGGTTATTGTCTAAAACTAGTCTGTTGGTAAAATTCCATATGAATTTAAAAAATCAGAATGAACTAAGCTTACTGTGAATTTAGTCCATATCAGAATTAGTGGATGGACTTAAAAACAAATTTGTGTAAATGCTACTTATTTATAGTATTTAAGTTAGATTAGGAATTTAAATTCAGACTCTATGTCTGAGTCCAAGAAGGCCTAGCATTTATTCAAGTTTGTTTTACCCAGTAATTGGGATACCTCAAGTGATTCTGATAAATTACAGATGTGAAACCGTCATTTGTCATGGAGGCTGGGAGAATCCTGTTCTGAGTAACCCGGTGCCCTCAGAACTGTAACTGCATTAGCTGCGTCATGTTGGGAAGCATGGGTTGTTTTGCATGTGGCATCAGATCCAAGGTGGAATTAAAGGCTTCGTGTCTACTGTTTGAATGATGCTTCTAACTAAAATGCTTATTAATAAGTAAAAACTTAAAGATAACATGCAGCATTTATAACTTTTATTCGGAAAAGTCACCCTCAAATGATTCAGCAATCAACTATTGTGATTTTTAAAAAATAACCTTCATTTTCTTCATGCACATTTGAATTGAAGTGAATGTCCTGATCAACATATTTACCCTTCACAGATTTCATTACATAAAGAGATGTTCAGAAATACCCCAGGATTATAAATCGCCAAGTGCTTTTCCACAATACGATTATACTCATCTTTTAATGCAGGATGGAATCCGAGAAGAATAGTAGGTTTCCACATCAACGATCTTTGGCTGTAGTCAACACAGATCAGAGTCATATTCAAATACTGTTTCTTTGCTCTTAGACACTGACCAAAGGGCAGAAACTGACCATACGCCACAGCCCTGTGTCCAAGAAGATGAGGGGGATTCCTGGAAACGCATTCCTCTCTTTCATTTACTTATTTTCATCTCATTCCACAGAGGATTCTGGGTGTTTTCATTCAGTGCTATGGTATCTTGGGCATCCCCGTTCTTTGGTGTTTAAGTTTAGAATTTTATAACAATAATGGTTATATGGTAAATGTAAATAAGCCAAATGAGACCTCCTGTTGGCAAAATGATTTTGAAGAGTCCTTTTAATATGCTGTTGCCAGAAAGCAAAGTTGAATGTCCCCTGCCTATGTGTATGTGTTAGGCATATACAGAAGATCTACAAGGAAATATCAAGAAATGAAAAGACTCTTTAAGGTGGTGGGATTATGAATGGTGTTTTTTCAGATTTTTATTTAATGTTGTTATATTGTTTTTACAATACAATTTTGAATGCTCTTATCATCTAGAAAATGTTATTGTTATTAAAATATAAATTTTAACAGTTAGGGTCTCAACTATAATGAGAAACTATTTCAGAACCTTCTCCCAAAAAAGCATAGCAAAACACCTTTGGAATCTTACCCCCAGGGAATCAGAAGCATATATATATATATATATACATATTTTTTAATTAAGTATAGTTGACATACAATATTGTTTTAGTTTCAGGTGTACAACATAGTGATTCAACATTTATTTACATTACAAAATTATCACCCTAATAAGACTAGTATCCATCAGTCACCATACAAAGTTATTACAATATTGTTGACTGTATTCCCTAAGCTGCACATTACATCCCTATGACTTATTTTTTTTTATGACCAGAAGTTTGTACCTCTTATCCCCTTCACCTATTTTGCCCTTCCTCTGGCAACCACCAAATTGTCCTCTGTATCTATGAGTCTGTTTCAGAAGCGTGTTTTGAAATGTAGTGTTAGGAGAGAACAGCATTGAGATTAAGAGCAGACTATGGAATAAGGTGCACCTGAATTCAGATCTGATCTCATTGAAGAAGTTCCTTAGTCTCTCTGACTTAATTCCTTTATCTTTACAAGGCGAGTAATAATAGGGTATATTTCATAGGGATATTGAGATGAGACTTTTTCTAGGCACAGCACTCAATAAATATTGGCGGCCACTGCTGTTATTATTTATCAGACTGCTTCAGAAGTTCTAAAAATGGGATGGTTGGGCAAAAGACACAACATATGTGAAAACATTTAACTTTCTATAACTTAGGTAAAATCTGCTAAAAATCAATTTGAAGGTTAAAACTAGGTAAACTTGTCAAATGAGAGAAAGTATGTTGTATAAGGGTCAAGGTTACAGAGGGAAATTCAGGTTGATCTAGAAGTTGGAATCTGCACATTTTAAAAGTCAAATCTATTGAGGTATAATTTAAATACAGGAACATTTACCCTTTTCAAGTGTGCAGCTTTGAGTTTTGACAAATGTACGCAATCATGTAACTACCACCGCAATCAAGATACAGAATGTTTCCGTCACCCCCACAAGCTCCCCCACGTCCTTTTGTAGTCATCCTTTCCTCCCACCCGAGGCTCTGGCAACCACTGATCTGATTTCTGTCCCTATAGTTTTGCCGTTTCCAGACTGTCACACAAATGGAATCCATATATTTTTGAGAAAACAATGTTGTGAGCATTTTTTAGACCTTTCTCAAAAAACATTTTGAGGGGCCAGCCTGGTGGCATAGTGGTTAAGTTCACACACTCTGCTTCAGTGGCCCGGGGTTTGTGGGTTTGGATCCCAGGCACGGACCTACACACCACTTATCAAGCCATGCTGTGGCAGGCGTCCCACATATAAAGTAGAGGAAGATGGGTACGGATGTCAGCCAGGGCCAATCTTCCTCAGCAAAAAGAGGAAGATTGGGAACAGATGTTAGCTAAGGGCTAATCTTCCCCCTCCCCTCAAAAAAAACCATTTTGAGAAATAATTTTCACACAGTGACTCTTTTAAAGATTTTATTTATTTATTTATTTTTCCCCCAAAGCCCCAGTACATAGTTGTCTGTCATAGCTGCACACCCTTCTAGTTGCTGTATGTGGGATGCGGCCTCAGCATGGCTGGAGGAGTGGTGCCTTGGCGCGCACCCGGGATCCGAACCCGGGCCGCCGGCAGCGGAGAGCACGCACTTAACCGCTAAGCCACGGGGCCGGCCCCCTACACAGTGACTCTTGGTGCGCAGGATGTAACTGGTCATTCATGGGTGAATTTTTTTGAACTGCAGTGACAGGCCTTGGTTTCTAGGCAGGTTGAACAAAGTCTCCTGCTACCACTGAGTCTCCAGCCGAAGTCATCTCTCCATGGCTAGCCCTGCAGATCACGTTCTCTTCTTTTCTTTCGTTTTCAACAGAAAAACATGATAAATAATGGATAACAGAAATGAATTTGGGCTCGCTGAACTAGAGATTGAAATAAAAGCCTGCTTGGAGCTATAGGTAAGAAGCAACATGACAAGTTTGGAAAATTTTTTTTTTCTTTCAGAATTATGCGTGTTCTAATAAACCAAATAAGGAAATTTCTTATTGTAAAGATAGCTGGGATGAACCAGTAGAACGTAAGACTTTCTTATTGTAAAGATAGCTGGGGAGGACCAGTGGAACACAGGAACAAAGAGTCAAATGTCCTTACCTATGAAGTAAGCAACTGTTGTCATAAACAAAAAACGCACTCTCGTGACCAAGTGGCACCATGGTATTGCTAGTGCTAGTAGGGGATGGCTGCGTGCACTTACTGTCAGGCCTGGGGTAGCAGGCACTGTGCCCCTGGCAGAACAGGGCCAGGTGGGGTGCTCTGAGAGCATGATGATAGGCTTGGAGACAGATTCTGGCAGGTGTGTGATCTTAAATAAATCACAATGAACTGTCTTTTTATATCTCTTGCCCATTTTTCTACACAATTGGAGGTTTTTTCTTCTCCATTTTTTTCTAACTCTTACTTCTTTGTCACAGGTATTACAGATAATTTTTCCAGTTTGTTATCTTAAGACTTATGGTGTTTTTTATCATAATGAAGTTATAAATATGGAGAGAGAATGTCAAATTGGTCAATCTTTTCCCTATTACTTCTAAATTTTGAGTCAAAGACTATAGAGGAATTTACCTGTTTTCTTCTAATGCTTAGCTGGTTTCATTTTTTATCCACTGTGGTAGCCAGCCTCCAAGATGACCCCAATGATCCCCACCTCCTGCTATTTTCATGTAGTCCCATCCCATATTGAATAGAACTGACCAGGGTAACAGTAGGATACTGTGGAAACGATGAAGTGTGACTTCTGAGGCTAAGTCACCAAAGGCATCATGGCTTCTTTCTTCTTCTCTCTCGGACCACTCTCTCTGAGGGAAGTTCCCTGGCAGGTCTCAAAGACATTCAAGCAGCCCTATGGAGAGGCCAATGTGGTAAGGAATTGAGGCCTCTGGCCGATAGACAAGTGGGTGAGACATTGTAGAAATGGATCCCCCAGCCCCTACTCAAGCCCCGGCTGACACGCTGACAACAATCTCACAGGAGATACTGGGTCAGAACCACCCAGCTAAGATGCTCTCAGATTCCTGGTCCACAAAAACTGTGAGATGTTTATTGTTTTAAGCCACCAAGTTCTAGAGGAATTACTTAACATCAGTACATAAGTAATATATCCATAAATTAATTTTTCCTGTGAGCAGAGCACACTAGATTTGAATATGATATTTGTATCTCTTTTGCTGCTCAGGGTCTGTTCTTTGCTTCTGCTCTGGTTCTTAGCTACATTTCAGATAACTTGAAGTTATAGGATGTGTCAACTGGTACTACATCATCACAGAGCCTCCTGAGTAAGAGCGACATGGCAGTGTGCAGTTCTGGAGACTGTTCTGCGTAGGTTAAGATCCAACCAAAGTGCATGGTTTTGCTATGCACTCCAGGACTTGGTCATCTTACTCAGGAGTAACCAGCTTTTGGGAAAACCAGCTGATATAGAAATAAACATTTATGCGTACAAAACAATGGTTGTTATTTTACAGTGAGTAGTGTGTCTTTTCTTAAGACAACCACTCTGTGAGTGGTTTCTCATCTGTAAAATGGTAAGAGCTATTTCCACCTCATAGGGTTTTGTGAGGATTATACAGCTAATACTTACAGAGTTCCTAATACTTCACATTCAGTAAGTGCTTAGTAAATATTATTACTCCTGGGATTGAAGGACTGTTACTTCAATCTCCCAAGCCAGAACTTTAACTCCTTCCTTTCCCTTGCTCTGCATATTCAACCAATTACCACGTTACATCAAGTCAAGATTAAATACTCTCTTAATCATTCCCTTCTCCCCACCTCACCCCCTCTCTACAGCCACTGTCCTAGGTTAGGCCCTCATTATTTCTTGCCTAGTGCATTCCACGGGCCTCCAGTCCAATCCAATGGAGTCACCATGCTGCCGTCAGGGTGACCTTTGAAGATATGAACTTGATCATGTCACCAGCTTTCATGGCTTCCAATGGCTAATAGCACTGGGATGACCCGGGGAGTAGGGGATTGTTAAAATACAGGCTCCAGAGTGCCACCCGACTCTACAACAGATTCTGAAATGATTGCTTCAGAGCAGAAAGCTGCATGCAGTTGGAAGCAGTTTAGGGAGGAGGTCTCCAGCTGTGGATTCTGTAGAGACTCAAGGTGGATGAAAATTGGCAGACCCTCCCAGTAGGACATGTGACCTCCCTTGGCCTCCATACCTGCTTTTCTCAACATGTAGCCCCATTTTCTTGTTTCTGGGCTGCAGTCAGTACACAGGGATTTGCACTCTTAGAAAACAATGCTAACAAAAATCAACCTAAATACTGGTGGTGCCATCTGTGGATTCTCCCCCAGGAATTGACCCACATCAAAATGATAGTTTGTAAATGAGGCTCAGCAAGAGTATAGTCTATATCTCATCCCAAAATATAATGAATGTGTGATCAATTATAACAGCAATTGTGAGAGAAGCTGTTGGCAACTGATAAGGAGTGGTAAAAGAGAAGACTCAAATTGAAACAGGATCAAGTATCTCTTGGAGGTTGGAGTGTTACAGCTTCGAAAAATATAGAGTGAAGAGAAACTCCCATCTCTAGGCCTGGATTAAACATCTCCCATGAAAGTGGAAATCATCAAATGATGGAAGATGCTTAAGGTGGTCTCAAGTGCCCTGCCAGTAAAAGATGTCCGGAACACAAGAGAGATTACCCTGGGAAGCACGGATTCAAGGAGGAACTTTCACACTCAGGCTGTGCAGTAGGAAACTTATTTGGCACGTGGTTCATCCATCAGTTTCTTATTGCTGGGGTTCACGTGAGCCCGTAAAGCTCACCCACTTGCACTTTGGACCTCTCGGCCCTCCCACCCCAAAAAGAAACACATCCTTGTGGTGACGCGTGGTTTAAGGGAGAAAGTCTTAGCTCTGAGGTTTTGGTGGGGTAAGCGTCACCAGGCCTGGGTTTGCATTGCCTTTTCACCGCGGCCGATCATGGGCGCCCCTGAGCATTCCTGCTCCTGATGCGAGTGTCCTGAGTGGGGATGATGCAGCCTTCTTTTCAGGCGACTGTGAACGACAATCCCTGGCCGGCGGCTGTGACAGCCTTTGTCCCGCGAGAGTGAGCAGGGGGAGAACAAGGGCACTCAAGGAGGTGCTTGCTGGCGCCGGCGCCACGCCCCTCTCCCGGCGGGAGCCGGTGAAGGACGAGCAGCCCGGGCTCACCGAGCGCCCGGTGCCCGCCCCGCCCGGAGTTCGTCCTGCGAGACACGGGCCTCCGTCCTCAAGGCCGGCAAGACCGCCGGGGGCGGGAGGATCAGCGCCCGGGAGCTCCCACCGCGCCAGAACCCGGAGCCCGGAAGCCGCG